CATCGACGACGATGTTGCCAAAGAGATGAAGAAGCGTAAGCTTGACGTTGTTTGCTCGTAAACGTGACAAGAAGTAGATGAATGCACAAGACATGACGTAGTATACAACCGTGACGCGTGCATCCAGCATATGACCTTCATATACTAGTATCTTGCTGATCACGGTTGCATTTTGACCAGTGCTTTGTGCCTGAGCGACCGCGGCCTGCTGTAGGGCTTGGAGTTGTGACTGGGTGTCTGAAGCGGGACGGGCAGCTAATGCAGCCTTCATTGTCAAGATTCCCCAGGCCCAACCGAGACACAGACCGACAAGGAGCGATAGAGATCCGAGGAGATAGATGAGGAGGATGCCAGCTGGCGGCGTGACAAAGAGAACTAGGGCAGCAAAAAAAGTAGAAATACCGATACTTTGCAGAGAAGGCTCGATGAATATCAAAAGAGCGGCAACCCAAGCTGCTATGGAACAGCGGAAAAGAGTTTTGAGATCGTTCCCATTGAAGTGGTTGAGCAATGAGGGCAGAGCTCGTTTCTTGGGGGCCTCTTTCTTCTTGGCGCCATTGCCGGCGCCATTGTCGACAGACTCCTCCGCTGACATGTTGTCAGTGTCAACGGGCTGCCTGCAACGATTGATTTTTTTGAATTTTGAATTTTGAATTTTTTTCAAGACTGCAGAGCAATGCCGGTTATAACGTGTTGGGGTTGGAAGATGTAGCCGCAGCTAGCTTGAGCCCAGCAGGGTGCTAATAGCTGAGTCAGAACTCAAAGGGATGTTGAGCCATGCACGGACAACCTGGGCACCTGAGCTCAGAGTTTGTTAGCCAATGTTGATAGATATGGACCCAGTAAGGACGAAAATACAATGCGTTGCAGGTGAGACGGAGTGGTTACGCTTTGGCCGGAAACCCGGCTTGTAGCTGTATGGAGAACGAGGGGTAGAGAGGGAGAACAGCTCGTGTACTATTTCGTACCTGCAGCTGACAGATATTTTTAAGGAAAGGGAAAGGGATGCCGACGCAAGAAGAAAAATAGTCTTCTCATTAGAGCGACTAGGTAGTAGTTGTCTCACCTCAATTTGAGAAATTGGAAGCCGCTAGATCGGGAGAGGATGGTGATTGTAACCTTGACTGCCGAAGCTCTACGTGGTAGCGTAGACTTGGCGACCCTGGTGCCAAGGTGAGAAGAGACGCCAGCGAGTCTTACGAAAGGGCAAGGAACAGTAATCTCTTTAAATTGGTTTTGCATCTCACGCGCCAAGGACCCAAACGCCCGGATGGATCGTAGGATCGGCCATTTCCCCTGTGCGGCCAAGGTGCATGTGGTGAATGGAGAATTGATGTCAGTTTCGGGCGGCTCGGGTCATCCGAAATGGCACCCCAAAGCCAAAGGTGGATAAATATGCGGAGGAGCTTCGTCTGTCCGTATATTCCATGGACCTCGGGATGGCAGCAGAGGACGGCGTTTCCCAGCGCCGAGTGGGTAATGGGCAGGGCTGATCCGCGTACCTAGCGCCGAGCTATGGCATGGCAGGACGGCTAAAGAGCAATTAGCGATCCGATCTGGATGAATTGAATGCCAGCGGGTGCTTGCTTACTACTGTACTCTTGCTACTGCACCTGCGACATCCGAGGGTGATTCATGTGGGTGCATGTTGTGTGCGTGTAGGTTGTGTTCTCATGTCAATACACACAAAGTGCAAATGATCGAGTTGAATGAAGAACAAGATGGTGTGAGAGATTCTCCGCATGAACAATTTTGTGCCTTCTCTGTGCATGATTCATCTGGGCAGACTCGCTCCTTCCATACTTACTTGTACCTTGACCGCCTGGCTGCAAGGGCGCACCTGCCAACGTGCTACTACCTCTGGGTTGGTAGAGGTGGCTAGAAGTACCACTGCTGGCAAGCACCGTGCAGTGGTACATCAGTGTTTGACTCTGATACAATGGCGGGCTTTCAGTGAGGATGGTGCCCAATGAAGCTCACTGGATGCACCTTCGCCCCCAATATTTTTTTTGCTTTTTCCTCCCCTCAACAAGCGAACATCAAATCCAATCTCACATAATGTGCATGATACCTACATAAGGTATGCATTGGCTTGCGACTGCCACGGTTTAAGTACATGCCATGGCACGGATGGCAACTTGTGCCCTTATCATTGGAGAGACGGCCAGCCACCATATGCGTGGTATCGGGTTATGGAGGCCGCATTGAGGCCGCAACCCTCGATTCCGGCCTGTGAAATGCACAAGGGTTGAGATTGAGGAGCATCATATTGGTCCATTCAAGATAACTCGCATATGCAATGAGACAGAGCTGCGAGCGGGGCTATATAAGGAGGGCCGGACGAACACAAGGCTGGAGGCAGACCTGAATCTCTTTCCCATTTCCAAGACACAATACCAAGCCCGTTTATCATTCGATTCTGAAGTGCTGAAACAAACTATTTCTATCGAGGCACCTGCTACGGCATCCGATATAATACTGCCTGCCTGGGTACTCCTGGATCTATCAATCCTTCACAAGTAAGTGGCCAAGTGGTGGTATAGAGACCTCGTGTTAACATCTACATTCAGTGCACAAATGATCAATCCGCGAGCAAGATACATGTAATTAAATTTACATGAATATACAGCTTTCGAAGCCAACCTCAGCAATGACTACTCTCACAGAGTTCACCTGCTTCCCCAAGCTCCCAGCGGAGCTCAGAATGGAGATTTGGAAGCGCGTACCCCAACCAGAACGTATCGTTGGTTGGGTCCCATGTGGAAACTGCAGAAACATCTGTAGACGCAAATCCAAAAGCAGAGAGGAACAAGACGGAAAGCCACTTGCCAGACAACGATGCATGGATTCGAATCATCCCAACTGGCTAGTCAAATATGTTGTTCACCCGCGCAAAGACGCCATATTCGCACCGTTGCATGCTTGCCGCGAGTCTCGAGAGTTTTGGAAAGCTCAATTCTACACGCCTCCTCGGCACATGATTGTCAATGAGGAAGGGTTCGATATCCCAGTCCAATTCAACGTGCCTTTCCTCAGCTATGAGCATGACATCTTCACTATGTTCGGGGCTTGGAGCTCTACCACCATCTTTGACATGGAGAACCCAATGGATGCACAGATTGAGCCGTTCATCGGCCTTGATCGCGCGCGCATAGAGCATGGCGGATATAGCGAGATACTGGATCTCTTCTTTCCCGCATCTACCCTGTTTGAAGTCAACGAGCTCCCTGCCCTCAAGAGGCTATCATTGATTACAATGGGGCCCCAGCCCCAAGAAGATGAGGACCAAGAAGATGAGGTGCTCATGCAGATGCACGCATGCGTGGCAGAACGCTATGATTGCCAGATAATAGACATTGTCAACCCTGAGGTTGGTGAGAATTCCACTATTCTCAACGAATGCCGACCACGCAGGAAGCCGATCCATTGGTATACCAAAGAAAGGCAGTTTGATGATTATTACAACTACTGGAAGGCGTGGCTGTGGCATGTTGTGGAAGGGCAGGCTCATTTCCTCATCAAATCAAACCGGGTTTCGTGGTCGTTGATTGTCAATTTTGCCCTCGCAGAAAATCCTGAATGGAACGGTCCACCTTCTCCGGAAGATTGTCCGCTGTATCCAGATCAATGTAGCGGCCCCACGGGGCACAGAAAATGTGTCATTGGCCACTGGAGGCCGAAGTTTGAACTATCATGCAAGTATCTGTGTGAGGAGAGGTGGGTCAAGTTCTTACGGGATGATCTCGATGTCAAGATTGAAGGGTGGAAACAGCCAATCGACAGGGCGGCAAAAGAGAAGGAGGATGGACGAATTCGAAATTTTATCAATGCGACTTATCCAAATTTTTGGAAATGGTGGCAAGGCGATGTTGAGTAATTATAACAATTTGTAGATAGAGTTTGGGATGCAGGTACTCTTTCCATGGTTTCATTACCATCCTTCTTAGTGGTTTCTTTCTGTTCATTTTTTCTTCTTACATATCCATCTTTTACTCATTTTCTTGAATACAAGATTTTTTTCCCCCTTTAAACAGTATGGCATCATTCATCGGTGATTCGAGAGGTAGTATGGGTCTCCCATACCTCCAGGTACCGGCTTGGCTCATCTATGAGGCTCTGTGACTGACTTTTACCGGTACGATAGCATATGATGTGAGCCTTGGAATATTACTACAGAGCGTATCTCATTGCCTCGTAATCAGGTGGGACCGTCTGAAACATAATGAGCCCATGGACAAATTAGAGACGAGGCAAGGAAAGCCACGTCGCCAATGTTGCTTCAAACTCCTTTCCCCTCACATTTGAAGGCCATACTCGGGCCTAGAGCGTCCTCCCTGCAGTGGTTAGCCGTAGCATTCGTGGAGAGGTCTATCACGGAATGGTGTCATGCCATGCCCCTGCTGCATGTTGCAGCGCAGCCTGGCCACCTGTCACCCACCCACAGGTCGGAGAGATTAAAACGAGCAAGGATTAATGGAAATTTATGCGAAAGGCTGCAGCATGGGAGGTGGCTGGCGTGACCGGTGTGCTGGGGAAAGGCACGACTTGCATCGCGCTAGATGTATGGTGGCTCTCAGCTGAGAAAAAGCAAACAGTTTTTTGGCCTTTCTTTTTGTACAGTTTAATGATGTGGCGAGCATACTCGTACACCATGCCCACTACGAACATGGGCTCTACCACATATTTGTTAGAAGCGGCGTTAGAAGCAGATGTGCCGGTTCTTCTTCCTCCTTCTTCGTTTCCCTCCTCAACTGGCCGCTACTCTGATAGATTATACACAGCCTACCATATCAACACATCACAGTGGCATTCATTTTCTCTCCATCAGGATCATATCCGGCATTAGTTCCACGCACGTTTCACGGGGAATGGTGGTTACTAAAACAACACTCTTGAAAGGCATCTCCCTCTAGGTATCCAGTGAGTATTCTCGATCAAATCTGAATTTAGACACCAACTAACCATGCTTTTGTCAGATTATTTAGAAACCAGCGTTATACATGGAGGCCAAGGCAGACATCGGGCTCGATAAGGTTCCAGTCGAGATCCTTCTCAAGATTGCTGGATGCCTCAAGAGTGAAAAGGATCTTGGGGCTCTTGTTCGCTCGTCCCGCCGGGCATACATAACGCTTAACGGCGTTTTATACGAACGCAATGTGTTTGAAGCCCATCCCAAACATTCCTGTGTTCTTTGGGCGGCTAGGAACGACTCGTTGAACACGATAAAGCTGGCTTATGCCCATGGCGCAGATCTGAACCTCTACGATCCGCGATCTGAGCTGAGAATCACGATTGTGTGGTCCAAAAGAAAGAAAGTGGATGCTAGAAAGATATTCTCGCCGCTCCACGTGTCAGTGATGAAGGGCTATCACCACATCACACAGTATCTCCTTGATCATGGCGCCTCCGTCGACATTCCGTCAGTCGGCCTCTGCAGCTGCCATGCCATGAACTTCAGACCACTGTTCCCCGCATGGTATCCGCTTCACACAGCTCTGGTCCATGCAAAAGAGGGCGAAATATCATCAGAGATGTTGATACGGCACGGCGCGCGCAAGGTGGCCGCAGAATGTCCTGGCCTCAGCTTCCAAACAATCAGCTACCAGCCGAGCCTGGCCAGGCTTGTGGCCGATCTGGGAGGTCTTAGAGAGGGCAATGTAGACGCCTTGGGCTATGCGCCACTTCATCTTGCTTCACTGGATGGAATGGACGATGTGGTTGAAATGATCCTCGAGAACCCCGAAGCAAACATTCATGTAAGAACCCTCGAAGAAAACAGTACTGTTTTGCATTGCGCCGTCAGACAGCGAAACCTCAACACGACAAAGCGGCTTCTAGCAATGCCAGGCATAGAGGTTGAGACTACGGATGCTCATAACAGGAACGTCGTTTACGCCGCAGCAAGGGGTTACAACGATGGGACTGTTGCGTCTATCATTTCCCTCCTCGTCGAGCGCGGTGCCAACATCAACCTACCTGATGAGGCTGGGGTGACTCCTCTCTATGCCGCGGCTTCCAGGATATTGATTTATGACTATCCCAATTTCAAGGCCGTTGAAGCGCTGCTCACTCACGGCGCCGACCCCTTTTTGTATCAAAAGAACGAGCACGGCTGGACCATCTTCCACCAACTGCTTCGGCAGGCTCCTAATTTCGGGGAGGTGGTGAATCCACGACGGGCTGCGCTGAAAAGACTCATTGAGCTGGGGCTTGAATTTGACACTTGCTCCTGTACCACTCAAGATGAATACGGCCTCGACTTTGACAGCGACGCCACGCCGCTGTTCTTTGCTGCCGCACAAGCTCAAGACCCGGAGTGCACCGAGATCTTGCTCAAGGCTGGTGCTAGGCCAAATACGCCGGTGCTGAATCGAGAGAATCCCGAACACATGCAAACTCAGAGCTTTTTGGCCGGTGTATTTCGCCATCTGTGGTGGGAAACGGAGAGTCGCGGGTTTGCTCCTCCCTTAAGTCAAGCTGGCGAGATCGTAGCATTACTTCTCAAGTACGGCGCCAGTTTGGAGGACGTCGATGGCGTAGAGTCTGCCCTGGAGTTTGTGTGCCGGTGTCCAGAGGAGAGAATGGATTACTCCCATCTGGACTTTGTGCTGGAGCACGCCACCCGCGAAAATGTGTCTCCTGAGCACGTCGAGGGGGTTATTAATGGCAATAGGCTTGAATCTAGTATCACGAAGGGTGCGATTGCCGACCATCACCGCATCGTGGCTCACAAGCTGATAAAGTTTGGGGAGCGATTATTTCCGGGAGAGATTTCGACTGAGGAAATTGTGGATGATGCGATGGACGTCGATGCCGATGCCGAAAGTGATGGTGATGATACACGTACTGAATAAGGTATAAAGAAGAAGAGAAATTGATTCGATTATTATCCATACCAGTCTTACCACCAAATTGATACATTGCATCTGGGATAGCCGATGTTGGAAGGGATTGGTAAAAAGTCGCGATGATGTCGTTGATGCGGTAGTTGTTGTTGTTTACTACAGGCATCTACCGCCTACCTTAATTGTAAATGCGGTTCTTTGGAGGGGTAATGAGAACATTCAGACGAAGCAAGTACTGCCACCAGAGATGAAAGATGCGATACAGAAAATCAAATGCAGTTAGGGAATCTCTCCACATCGATGTGTATTCGATATCAATCATTTTCGAGAATAGAGAAGAGATCAATGGAAGCCACAAGATATTAAACAATAGCAGGTACCAATCTATTAGTATCCGTATCCCACTGTATCTATACTTGGAAAAGGCTGACGCATGTCATGTCACATCCAGTTACAGTACCTAGGCTACGATCCACGGCCCACTAGAGCTCAATACCCACTTCGGCCTTGTCATCAAGCCACAGCCTCTCTCTCTCTCTTCTCTCTCTCTCGCTATCAATTAAGCGCTTCTCTCTTTTCTATCCTCGATCTTGGAGCTTCTCCCCCTGCATCTCCCCTACCGCCGTCCCTGCGCCTATACCATTGGAACTCCAAGATTCGCGCACGAAAGCCTTGATCCAACAATCTCCTCCCTCAGGTATCCAATCCTGCCAATTTCACGTGGCGCGCAGATCGTCAACCGGCAAGGAATCCCCTAGCCATCACCAAAAGCCAACCAACCTCTTGCGACCTCTTCTCTCCCCCTTACATTCTCTCTTGAATTCGTATCTTCTCTCTCTCTTCTTATCCTACTATTTTCAGCCATGCTCGTCTCCCTGACGGTCGGCAAAGTTGACGCTGGCGTCACAGTGCTGCTGACCCCAGACAAGCGCTTGGTATGTCTCGCAAGCTGGCCTGTTTTGTTTTGATCTACTTTGCTTTGTTCTTCTCTGCTGTGCTCTCTTTCTTCTATTCTGATATTCTTTCTCGAGCTCCACGTCTGACCGCCGCAATTTCAAAACATATAGATCGAATTCCCCTCCATTCTGCTGCCTCCCAACATCTCCTCCGGTAGTATCGTTGACATCACGGTTGGCCGCAACGTCAGCAAGGAGGCTGCTGCGGAAGACGAGTTCCGTTCCCTCCAAGACCGCATCTTCCAGTCCTTTGGCGCCTCCGAACCCGCCGCTCCCGTCCTGCGCTGCCGCAATGCGACCCAAACCTCTGTCGTCCTGGAATGGGACCCCATCGAGCTCGCTACTGCCGACTTGATGTCCCTAAGCCTGTATCGCAATGGGCAAAAGGCCGGCAACATCCCCCGGCCGCTGGAGATGCATAGCACCAAGATCAGCGGCCTGGCCGTCGACACTGAATACAGCTTCCACCTAGTCCTGCGGACAAGCGCCGGCACGCGAGCAAGCGAGAAAGTGGTTGTGCGAACCCACAAGATGACGGACCTCAGCGGAATCACCATCACAACTGGCATTCTGCCCGCGACGACGAGAGAGAACCTGACACGTGCGGTGGAGCGCATTGGAGCCAAGATTGTCGATGGAGTGCGCATCGACACGACGCACTTCGTCACCACCGAAGGCAGGGGAACGGCGTGGGAAAAGGCCGTCGAAAACAACATCCCCGTGGTGCGGCCCGAATGGGTGACGGCCTGCGAACAGAACGGCCGGATCCTCGGTGTCACCAAATTCTACCTCGATGTCATGAGGCCAGGTCCTCCCAGTGACGACCAGCTACCTCCTCCTCCCGCCAAGGACGTGCCTCCCAAGGACACACCACCGCGAGCGTCACCGCCGGCGCAAGAGTCAGCTTCTGATAAGTCTCGGGACAGCAAATCGTCAGCCACTCCACCGGTCAACGGAAAGAAAGATCATGAAGCAGAAGCAGAATCGTCCAAAGCTGGTGAAAATTCCAACTCCCACGAAGACGAGGACGATGAAGAAGAGGAGGAGGGAGAGTCGTCGGAGCAAAAGACAAAGTCTGATGAGCAGGCGGAGCAAAAAGTACGTCTAGAAGACGTTCAGGAGCAAAAAGTTGCATTGCGGCCTGTCGAGTCCCAAACGGCTATTGTGGAACAAGTCAGCGATGACGACGAGGATGGATCTCGGCCCGCGGACGGGGCGTCGTTCCAGGAGGTTGAGTTGTAAAGTATGCCTTGTTTTGCGGATATATATGTACACCGGGCATATATTTCCATGTTTCATCTACATGCAGGTACTTTGTTATTCATGTTTCACGCGCCGTGCTGTTTTTGAGTGATGCGAATAGAGGGGAGGGGATGAAGAAGAAGAGAAATTCTACAACGAGCTTGTTTCTTATTACAGGGCAAAGGGGAGCTATTGGGGTGGGCGGGAAAAGACAAAAGCATGTCATGCCGTTTACAAAAGAACCATTTTATAAAGACTTTTTAATTTCAATGTTGTCTCTGTGCGCTTATTAACCAAGTCTCATTCGATTCTGTCAAACGGGATGTCTGATTATATTCCCATGAACGAAATCAAGGAGGAATCTCAGTCCCTTTCCAATCCCAACATCGCCCTCTGTCCTTCACGCCCAAACCACACACCACCTCCATGAGCCTCTCAGCCGCATACTCAGTGCTGAATAACTCGTCCTTCGGAACACCACTCCAGAAGTCCTTGCTCAACTCCGTCTTGACCGTGCCGGGATGATACGCCACCGCCATGGCATTGTCGCCCGCCCTAGTCCGCAGCTGTATGTCCAGGCTCTTGGTGATGCTATTAACAGCCGCCTTGCTCGCGCGATACGAAAACCAACCTCCCGCGCGATTATCCGTCGTCGATCCCACTCTCGCCGACATGTTGAGCCAAGTTGCGTGCTGAGGCAGACGCATGACCTCTTCCTCCGCCTCGTCCTCATCCTCGCCTTCATAGTCGTCGTCCTCTTCATCTGCATCTTCATCGTCGTACTCGTATCCCGGCTGCGACATCGCAGTCCCCTTCCTGGGCAGGAAGCCAAAGAAATGCTTCGCCACCAGCAGCTGTCCGACGGCATTGATCCGGAACGACTGCAACGCTGCGTCCGCGTCCACCTGCGCCGGCGACTTCTCCGGATTAAGCAGCACCCCCGGGAGCACGCAGGCGAGATGCAGGTGGTGCGAGTCTTTGGGGAACAGATTCTGGGCCTCTTGGGCGGCAGACGCAATGGTGGATTCATCTGTGACGTCGCAGCGTACGACAAAGAGGCGCTTTGAGAGCTCATCTTGTTGTTTCTCCTGCTGTCCATTGAGCTGCTTTCCATTCAACGAAGACGATAAAGAAGCTGATGAAGAATAAGAGGATGACGGCGTGGAAAACACATCTTCAAGAAGTGTCGCCTTGGCCACTGCCGGATCAGGATGCCGCGTAGTTGCGAGAACCGGGATCGGCGTAGACAAGCGAGCCGTGCGTCGCAGGATGTGGCGGGTGAGGGCATTGCCGATGCCTCTGCTGGAGGGGCAGATGAAGATCCATGGCGTTGAGGGCATTGCGGAGGTCTTGAGTTACAGATATGATGGGTGACGTGTCCTAGGATGTGGGCATTATAGTATATATGAGTGTATCTGATGAATTGATTTTCACGCAGTTGATTATTTGAGATGGGTTGATTGAGATGAGATGAGATGTTGAGAATTTGAGAATCACGGCTTTGGGTTGTTGTGTTGGATGTGGTTCGATGACGCCAACGAATTGACTCTGTCTAGAATCGCCTTGCATTTACTCAACACTCAACATATAGAGGTAAGGTAGCCAAACTTTAAAAACACCAGCCAATCAACTCAGACAAATAAAAAATTAATTCCAGGCGCTATGCCAGATTACAACAGAAACTAAGTAAAACAGAAGAAGAATGTCAAGACTTGACGTGTACGGGTATATCTAAGTAAATACGGCCATGACTTGGTATATCCGTCCCAAAAAACATGTTCGCACTTCATCTTCAAAATCAAGTACAGCATACAGCTACGTGATAATCTCCCCAAAAACGCCTTGAACAAGAAACATCACCTATTCATTTCGCCTCCCCCCTCCTTTTTTAGAACAAAGGAAATCAAAGAGTAAAGGTAACAAGAAAGAATGTTTCTCTCCTGCATTGCACCTACACAGTGTTGTGACGCCAATCATCCGCCGTTCTCTCCGCAATCTGCTCCTGTCTCCGTCTCGCTTCACCGGCCAATTCTCTCATCAGGGGTTCAATGATTCCCAGGCCGCTTACGTCGTCGCCTCTGCTCATCGTGTCGCTGCTTTCGCTGTCATCAGACGCAAGCTTTCCTCCAATGAGTCCTGCCACGATCCGATCTCGGGAAAGGCTGGCTCTCCTTGTGGGTGTCTTGGTTCGTTTAGAACTGCGAGCTTTGCGTTCCGCGCTTGCTGAGCTGACCTCGTCATCTGAAGCCCAGCCTCGACCTTCGCCATCCGCATGTGCAGCTTTGTTGATGCGGTTTGACGTCTTAATGTTGCGGCTCATATCATCCAGGACGGGTACCAGAGCACGCAGCCAAACATCGCCATTGCGTTCCAGTCGGCGTATACGGCGCTCTACATCTCGGAGACGGTTTTCGTGGTACGAGTCATAGAGCCGTAGGATTTGCTTGTCCATCAGGTTCCGTTTGTGCTGTAAATACAGCTCGCTATCCATGTCACGAGAAAGTCGCAGTTGGCTCATATCAGGTGAAGAGGAGTGAGAACTTGATGGAGGAGAAGATACCTTCCGACCGTTCTTGTCTTCTGGCAATCCAGGTGAGGGTTGGAGGTCAACCACAACGACAATGGGAATAAGAGTATTCAGGGATGACGTTTGAGGGCGCTGACTCTCTTCCTCTGCGTCTGCATTATTTCGTGATTGCTCCCCGTCTTCGTATTCTTTCTGTTGATCTTCAGACTTTCGTCGCTGCAACTCTTTGAACGCCTTTGCAGCTTCCATGTCTCTCCTCTTCTTGTCTCGAACCTTCTCGCGGCGGCTCTGGATTGAGCCTGCTGTTGATGGGCGAGAAGGGAGCTCCTTGTTAACTGCTAGCATTGATTGGGCAGATACAGCTCTGCGAACGCTACGCTTGGTACTCCTTGAGGATCCATCGGTAGATTCCTCGGTGATCGGAGAGGGAAATCCGATACCTGGTTTGTATTGCTGCTTAGCCCGAGAGTCAGCTTTCCCTGGCGGCTTCGGAAGCGGCTTCTTATTATACCCGTCCCGAACGGTCTCGACGTCTTTGACTACACTCAACAGACCGTCAATGGATGCCGAGTGTGCAGGGTGACGGTGTCTCGGGCCAGTAGGAACAACCATGCTTGAGGGTCTTGCCGGACGCTGCTGGTTGTTTGGCCTGGCCGGGCTCTTGGGAGGTCCCCAGACAACCATTCCTTGCGCGTTGATATGCGGTGGGTCAGTAATCTTTGGAAATATACTGACGTAGCCTGGTGGCTTGTTCTTAGTTTGGTTCCTGGCACTTGGCCCCATAGATCCTTCTGTCGAGTACCCCGTGGATTGACTGCTGGATTTGTGGTGGCTTCCTATAGTGCTTTGTGTATGGCTACTCCTCTCGTCCAAGCTCGATGAAATGGACTGCTGTGACAAAAGGCTGGAACGCTGCGTGGAAGGGGCCTGAGGCAATGGAGGAGCCTCATCGGTCGCAGTGGGGAAAACAGTGACGGTGCCATTTTCCCCGGAATATGTCTGGACGGCAAAGTTTCGTGGAAGAGTTGCATACTCATTCCTTGTTCCCCCAACCCTAGCATCGGTGTTGTTATTCACATTGGCAGGGTTTTGTGTTGTTGAGTCGGAAGCAAAAGGCATGGCCTCGAGAGGGATCGAGATGGCAATGTGCCGGTGTCCTCCAATGGTGACGCCTGACACTGCCGAGTCTGGTAGCTGAATGTTTTGGGGAGGCCTGGGAACCGATTTACTTCTTCGCTTCATGGCCATGAATTTTGACCATTTCGACTCCCGATCCTTGTCGTCTGCGTGACCAAAGGGAACGGACATGTAGCTGCTCGATGGGGGTTCGTGATTCTTCAAGAAATCGGCTAAACTCGTAGTATCATCTCTGCCGTGATGGTTCATTCGATTGCGAGGACGATCTTCTAGACCATCAACACCGCGGCCATTGCCCCTGCCGTGATAAGAGCTTCTCAAATTCTTCAACGCCATGACGGGGTCAATCACGGATGATCTCCTGTCTTTTTTGTCTAACAATTCGATACCAGTGCTATACCGACGGAAAATAACGGGATTCGAAGCAAGTGGTGATGGAGGAGGGTTTTGGTCCCCCACCCAGGGTGTGAGAAATCTTGAACCAACAGATGCCGCCATTGCTTCTTCTCTCGAATAGACTGGGCTAGTGGACAAATATCAGCAGCCAACAGCCGGATTGTACACACACACAGAGCGCTTGTAGAGGTGGCAATGCCCTTGCGTGTTCGAAACCCGCCACTTGCTTTCCAAGTCTCTCCCTGACCAGGAACCGTGATAGGATGTCTGATAGAAAACCTGGTGGCTATGGATTCTTGCAGACTAGGCGTGTAATAGCGTGCATACAAAGCGCATACACCTAGCAGTAGTCTCTTAGGGACCGAATTGTCACTCGTGCGGGCTCTTCCGCCCTCGATAGGGTAGATGTATGTCTCAGTCGTCGGTTGCTGAGGGGTGTGGGAGGATGATGTACTCGTATGCTGAGAGGAGAGATATTGGCTGACAAGGAGTAATAGTCACGGCCGAAAACAAGGCCGGTATTATACAAGGGCAAAGGAAAAAGAAAAGGGAACCAAAAGAGCGAGCGAATGGGAGACCTGGCTCTGTCTGGAATGGAGCGGGCCTTGATATGTCTGTGGATGTATGGAGAAGAGCACTCGAAAAGTGAAAAAAAAAGAAAATACTAAAGGCCAATGATTGGTTCGCATTAGACCAAGGGCGAGGATGAAGAAGACGAGCAGCACACAACTGGCAACTCTGAGCACAAAGAAAGAAGAAAAAGAAAGGAAGAGAGAGAGATGGCGTTGGCCCGTAGCTCGCCAGAGCGGAGGCAATGGAGATGAAGATGATGAAGAACAAAGCCCTGAAGATCACTTTACGGCCGTGATCAAAGCAATGTCTTTAACATGGGTCGTCTCCTTAAAATATCGGGTCACTTTTTGATGAAAGGGCCTTAAGCTTCCCAGCACCCTGGCAGTTGACTTGACGAGCCCCCAGGCCCCCGGCTGATGAGCAGGCAAGGAACCGAGCTATCCAAGGGAACCTCCAATAGACAGCGGGTATCTCCAGAGCCAATTTAGCTCGCAGAGTGGTCCTGTCTTTGGTGGCGCACTCCGCCATCATAGCCCATTGGCCGTCTTGGTCTGGGACATTCAGACTAAACCGCAGTGACGATGTGCTATTGAAAGTGCTTCCTTTTTTGTCGTTTTATTCAGCAGGATAATGGGCGGCGGGGAAGCGGGATGTGAAGCACTTCGCCAAGCAGCCATTTCTCTCTTCTTCCCCCCTCCTCTTTTGCTGAATCGGCTCCCCGTCATTGTCCAACCCTGGCCACTCGCTTGGTTTTGGGGACGGTTGATCGCTTAAACTGAACATGATGCCAGAAAAGTTCTCGCCCAGGTCAACCAGGAGCATTTGTCAACCTTGCTTTCACACGTGTGCTTTGTCTCCGGCTGCCCGTCATCTACCGACTCCCGACTGACTGGCTGAGGAGCAAAGGACGAGCCGAGATGAACCAAGCGCGATGATGACAACGACTGGCGAGGTGCAGGGATCAAGGCTCCAGTTCGCTAATTGCCGTGGAGTCGTATATTATGACAAGGGTTGGTACTGTCTCCTTGCGCTTAGCTTCGTACTATGCTCCACACTCTGTACTGCAGGGAGCGTTCTTCTGCAAGAGGAGAGGAGGCAGACCGCAGAGTTGTACGAATCCAAGTCCGGGATGCAATTGTCCGGCCCATCTTCTCAGCTGAGGTGAAGAGGCTCGCTGCATCGCCTATCCTATCCAGCATCAATGGCTGCGAGCGGGCGGCTGCATTGTGTGAGCTGCGAGTACTATCGTATCCCACTGGTTAGCTCGAGCAACAAGCTTGTACAGTAGGAGTACAGTAGGGTACAGACAGTAGCAGGAATATTTCGTAGTGATCCATGGCGGCAATGCAAGGGACCTGGACCTGCAGGCGAAATTATCCACCCCGGGTACGAAGTGGCTCCTCCAGAGGAAATGTCCGCTCGGCTCTGCTCTGCCCTGGATTTATTATGCTTCCTGTCCAGTTTACATCGTTGTCAAAGCTGACACGAAGCGAACATGTTGCCCGGGGCAAGACCAAAATAGAAGGGTCGAGACAAGTCCAGCACTGCGGCATGAGAAATCAAGAGAAGAAAGAAGAAGATGAATGAATGAATGAAGCCATCGAGAGAGATGGTCTGACTTGATACTAGTCGTAGCCAGGCCCGGCAACCAGCCACTGGCTAGGTTGCGACTTCCATCATGACCAAAAGGTCTCTAATCAGGCGCCACCCGCTGATCTGGCGCCCTTATTTCACACCAGACAATTTCCCCTCTTCATGCTCAGGTCAGGGCGCGGATAGCTTCCAAGCTTCCTCCAAGCTCGCTTTGGAGGCCTGTTTCAGCTCCAGCTTGCAGAGTCAGACACTGTCTCGTCATAATCATGGACAGAAAGTCATGGACAGAGAGTCATGGACAGATTGTGTCTATGAGTATGTCTACCTATCCATCACATCATCCACAGCAACCACGAAATAAAGGAAACAAGGCCGAGACGGTGTCACTCGTGCCAACTCCTCCGTAGGTCAGCCAGAGATCATCCTCCATTCTCTCCAAGCCGTCCAAGTCACCACCAAACACGAGCAGAATTTCGTATCTCTTAGCGCTTTGTGCAAAAGCAAGCCAGCGCCGGCTCCGCAAACTCATCTCCCATATTAACCACTGCTGATCCCCATGGGCTTCTCCACCGAGACTCGGCAATCGATTTGCTTTGGCAGCAGCCTCTCGGCGACCCTAAAAATCCTGGGCCCGACACTAGACATCTAGCTGACCAAAACTGGCTTGCCTGGCGTCGGTGACCAGGACGCAAAGCAAGGTCCACCAACTGATGTGGTGAGCGGACAAGTACCTAACCAACTAACCTGGCCAAGTGTCTTCCAGCTCCCGGGTTGGAGATAGTATTGTCAAGTATTATCTCATGAAAGCTCTCGCACCAAGACGCCCGGAAACTGCTCTACTGTACATATTCGTGACTGTCTTGATCGAGTGCGGATTCCCAGCCCAAGCCATGTGTTTCATCATTCTCGACAGCATCCCTCCTTTTGTAATCTCTGTATAGTAGTGTTACGTAGATGAACGAAACCCAGGGAAATTAATAAAATAAATACGCCACGGACTTCTCTTGAATGGCTCCAAACACCATTTCCTCACTCTGAATATCATTGATCATCATCAAGCACAGCTGTTTCCAAAATAAACATAGCCATACATCTTCCGTAATTAATGAGAAAGAGATAGCTCTGTCCGCATCATGTGAACCAAGCCTAAACTCCAAGGATAAAAATCCCCATGCCATCATGTCACCAATCCCGCCCAAATCCTGTCTAATTACTATTAAAAGTGAAAGTATATGTCTCGCCCAGTTTTAATCCATTAGAGTAGTATATCGTGACCGTAAATACCTCGTGCTTCATCTGCATTGTCACTCGTCCCTCTTTGCAATCCGGTCCTTTGAACCCCTTCCTCCTTTATTCTTCTTCATCGTGAACCTTCTATATAATAAAGATGAAGTATCAAGAGAATAGATGCGAATATCTCGATGGTAAAAGTTGATAAGACTATTATCGAAAACCCGGTGATTCGGTATCAAATTGTAGAAAGATGGCGGTCTGGACGCTCGTTCAGTCTGTCAGTTGACGGGTAATGCAAAGCGGCAGCTTCCCATCTCTCTCCTATTTTATGATTGCCCGTTCATATTCCGCAATCTCACTATGGCTGTGTATTAGTAAACATCAAAATCTATTTGGAAGGGTGCTTCTTACAACTGACAGACAGATACGGCCACCATCCGGTATCTTTTCCATTACGCGGTCCTTCTCTCCCCAAGCAAGGAGACCAATAACAAACCAGGGAAAGCATTAACAAGCAATTTATAGTAGAAAATTTAGGAAATAGTGCGACCCAAGAGGGTCCCGGCAAATGCGGACACCATTCTTCTGGTCATGCTGTTGTTTGTGATGAACCTACTGTCCACCTAGCAAGATGATTTTAACGCCTAGCAATGCCCGTTCTACAAGCTCCTGCCATCTACTAAAAAGAAAAATTGTTCAAGAAAGAAAAGAGAAGAGAATCAAGGAGAAGGCGATACTAATCATCTCTTTTTAGGGAGAAATGGGTTTGGTTTCTTCTTCTTCCGTGGACCCTGCGGTATTTGTGGATTCGCCTGCTCGTCACCATCAGTAAAGTCAAAATATACAAAACATAATCAACCATTACTCACACTGCTACTCGCCGCTGCAGGACCAGTCGGCGGCGCCGGCCTTGGCATCGCTGGAGCATCAGGGTTGATAACCGGCGGAGGCCGTTCCGGGGGCACCATCCCAAGTAACGACATCGCAGAAGGATCAGTTGGGGCTCGAATGGGCCTGGGTCTCTGGCTAAATTTACCCATAAGACCACCGCTCGGCCGCGAATTATCATTTGCAATCTACGCCTCTGTTAATGCACTTCTTGGACATATTTGCATACGTAAACCTCTACTTACCCTCTTCGTTACTGTCTGGCCGGACTCGGGAGAGTCCAGTGGTCGCTTTTTCGCTTCCATACCGCCTGATGTGTGGATAATTGGAGGTCCGTTTGAGCGCGGCGTGACGGCATCTAACCCAGACGATGTTGCTGCACCCGGATTTCCGTTATTAGTAGCGCCGGCCGGTGTACCGGTAGGCTCCTTACGGGCCGTCTCCCTCATGACAACATCCATCTGCTGAGGGGGTTGTTGTGGGGGGTTTGTCGGTGTTGAAATACCAGAGCTTCGACCAGATGATGGCGTATATGCGTCAAGCCTCGCTTTTTCAAGTGGGCGCCGGAACATGGAGAGAATGTCGCCCTTTGTATATCGGTCTCGATCTTGGGCGTCGACGATCAATTTGCGCCAGAACTCTCCCTGAACAAGAGCTCGCGAGTCACCCAGAATCCACAACGACGACTTTGCTCGCGTCAGACCAACATTCATACGGCGAATATCCGTCATGAAACCAATACCGCCCGTGGAACTAGCTCGGACACAAGAGAAAATGATGATCTCGCACTCTCGTCCCTGGAAAGCATCCGTTGTGTTGAACTCAATGATGTTGGTGATATTTTCACCATACCGGGCCTGGAATCGAGACCGCAACTCGTATAGCTGCGCCTTGTAAGGCGTAATGATGCCAATCTTTCGCGTCAAGTCACACTCATGGTAGTCCCTGCTGAATCTTTCGTACATTTGTAGCGCCACTTCAAGCTCTCTTGTATTGACAAGAGATTGGCCCTTTCTACCTTTTTCTTGAACACCCTCGACATCGAAAAATCGGTAGGGAGCAAAGAGGGCATCTTTATGCCATGGTGCCTGACGAAGCTGCATCATATCTTGGCCGTCCTGCAGTTGGGATTCGTAGAATTCCCTGCTGGGGAATGAGCTAATCTCGGGGTGCATTCGGTACTGCATATCAAGCAGGTGAATCGACTTTGGATGGTTTTGCTGCATTCGGACAAACAAGCTCTGATCGTAGCCAAACCGCGCCGCAGACTGCGACAGGACTGTGGGGGGCAATTGCTTGGGATCTCCGACCAGAATACACTTGCAGCATCCGTATTTCAATGGAATCAAGGCGCTCAGCTCCACGCACTGAGCTGCCTCATCGATGATGACTGTCTCGAATTCCACATCCAAGTTTCGGAACATTTCGTGTCCACTTCCGCTGAGAGTCGCGCACAGAACGTGAGCAGAATTGAGAATCTCCTGCTGGATCTGCCGACGACGCAGTTCCATCTCGCGGGCTATCGAGTTGCCGCTGTCTTTATTGGCATCGATTTGTTTTCCGATTTGCATTTGCTTTCGCTTCAGCTCATCAAACTGCCTTGACAGAGAGTTGTACAATGATCGGTCATCCTGGGTGCGAGACTCGTCCAATCTTGGCCTGAGCTGCGCTATTTGCTCCTTCAGCTCGGCGGCCTCTTCGTGTAGCTTGTCTCTGTCCGCCTTTGCCTTGTCCTTGGTTGTATCCCCTTCGAGACGGGCCTTCACCAACTCATCTAGGGTAACGTCTTTGACTGCGGCGTTAATAGCTTCGCTTCTGCCTAGACGAAGGACATTGATGTTTCGCGTTTTGCCGTTCACTGTCTTGATGCCATTCTTCAATCGGAGCACCAATTCATCTACAGCGGCGTTACTGGGCGCGCAAACGAGGAGCTTCTTTGGCCGGGCCTGGTTGCCTGCAGGGATACCAGTAGGTCTCATTGGAACCCCGAGAGGAACTCCTGTTGCAGCGAGAGGAGCTTGCGCAAGCTGGTCAGACAGCAGAGAGCCGACCATTGCTACGATGGTCTTGGTCTTTCCTGTACCGGGGGGACTATAATTTCAGGGAAGAAAACAGAGTCAGCGCATGCTAAGAAAAAAAAGAAAAGACAAAAGAGAAGAGAGGGGGAAGAAAACATAGGAATCAAGTGAAGTGGAATGTCCATGTCCTTACCCTTGGATCAAGGTGAACCCATCATTCTCTTGTGCACCAAGTACAGCGAGGGCTTGACCTCGGTTCAAAGCCCAATTGCCCATGTAATTGGATACGCGTTCTTCTCCATAGCGCAGAATTGGTGATGGCTCTGCCTTCAAGATCTCGTCCATAAGATCATAATACTGCAGACTCTCCAGGGCGGCATACTCTCTCTCTATGGTCGCCATGTTGGTGATTTTTACACCATATACGGTGGCGCCAGGGGTCAGGAGGGGCGAGAGAGGATTACTACGAGAAGCTACGCGATACGTCACCTCGACGGTGTCTTTTTTATAAGTGATACGATGGACTCGGGCCAGGCAATGCTTTGCAGTTTCATCCACCAGGGGATTCTCTGCCTCAGATACAAGGAGGATATCGCCCTCAAAGACACCACGATCCCGCTGCGGGGCTACGGGCATTGTAAACGTCACTTCCAGGTAGCTGTCGACGCTTGCGCGGCTGGCAATCTTCATGCCAAACGACTGGGCGGTAATTTCATCCTTTGACGTGACAAAGGAGCGCCAGGCCTCCGATGCAAGCAACGGGAAGAAGGTCTCTTGATATGATCTCGGGTCAACATACTTGGTGGCAACCTCGGAGGCCTTGGGCCCGTTTGGAGGGTCGTTACCACCGTGGAATATGTCCCAGGCGAGAATGGTATTGTGAAGTCGATCCATTGGAGGGATGAGCCGGGCTCTCATCTCTTTGACGGAGCGCTGCTGTCTGGTCTTCTTAACTGGCTGTCGCAACTTATCTTGCAGGGCCTGTCGGCGCCGCTTCTCAGCGTCGGTTAGGGATTTCGCTCCTCCCGTGCTCAACGCAGCAAGCTGATTGTCGGCATCCGAGTCGTCGCTATCGGCCTCGGACTCTTCGTCAGAACTGTTGACCATGATATCACTTCTCGAATGATCCTTGCCGATAAGACCAAGGCCAGCAATGCCAGAGCCTTCGCCTTTGACAAACTCCCCGCGGAGCGCCCTGGCCCGCGCAATGGCCTCGGCATCTCGCTTCGCCTTTTCCAGCTTTTCTCTCTGCCTACTTTCCTTCAGGGCACTGATTGCCTTTTGATCAGGTATTTTGGCAGCCTTTGCTCTGGCCTGACGGGCCTCGATTTGTTTGAGCAGTGGGTTTTCGACTGATCTGCTGAAATCCAACACATCGTCTCGGTTAGAACGACCAAGCTTGGATATAGTTGTAGCTGAGGATGAGGCAGTTGCAGGCGCTGATTTTGACCAGGCATCAAGTTTACTCTGTTTCTTAGACTTGTCCTTGAGTGCCTGTTCTTGGCGTTGCTGTGCACTTGTTGCTTGTTGGTAGATTTGCACTTCTTCATCGGTTTGTCCTAGCGCTTGGAGAAGTTCTGCGCGTTGTTGGTCGGTCAGGTTTGTGGATCGTACGTATTTTCCGGGAGTGGCTGTTGGCAGACAAGCATCTGTGATGAGTTTACGAGAGTTGGGGTTGATCTCGAGGCCATTTTCTTGAAGTCGTTTGAGAATTTTGCAAAGAACACGAACTGTAACATCGACGAGCCAGCGATCCTTGAGCCGAATCATGTTCTCCATTCCACGAAAGTTGTCTTTTGCTGGGGCTAGGATCCTGATCATCATGTCCTTCTCACTCCGACCAAGCGCCGTCGCAGAGGTGAGGAGGCCATCTTCAGCGATGAGACCTTCGGCAAGCTCCATAATCTCTCGGCAGAATTCCGTCATGATGGCATTCGGGATGTAAAAAGACCACGTCTCAATGTTGAGGCAAGCCTTGGAGACAAAGCGCCACTGCTCATTCCACCAGCGCAGGACGGTGGCGGCCGATTTGGAGTCGAGAGTTCTGACTCGAAGGACTCCCGAAGAAGGGTCTGCGAGGCCTCTGAGAACATCTCTACTCATATTGAGTAGAGGTTTGATTGGGCCCCATGGAAAGGGGGGTCGAAGGACACGTTCCAGGGACCAGACAATGGATGCAAGCGTCTGATCTGGATGGTGCTGCGTCATCTGCTCCAGTGCGCCGCTTCGAGAAAGTTCCCCGGTCCAGCTCTTCAAAACTTCCGCAGAAGCCTCTGCGAGATCCGAGTTTTCATGTACGGACAAGGCAGTGGTGACTTGAAAGGGGAGCCGATCAGCATACAAATCATTCAAATCTGTGACATCAAGCTCGGAGATGCGGCCGAGTATTCTAGCAAGCACATCTGCTGTGTCGCCCAGCGCCTGGTTGAACGCTTTGCCAGAGTCGTCGAGCTTGTTCTCGTTCTTCCGCGGCCTGATCTGTTCCACCGCAATGAGGGGCGCTAACGAGACAAAAATATCCTTTGCGACGGCCACTTGTTCAGGTGATGTATCAAACATCTCCAAAACCCCTTCCCAGAACGCTTTAGAGTTCCTTGTGATGGCTGTTTGGAGCTGCTTGGTGGCGTGGATAGCTTGGTATTCCTCAGAGAGCAGTTTCATGTCCAGCTTCATGGCAGAGCTCATGACTTCTTTGGCAGCGTCGGCAACCTTGAACGTAGTCCAGCCTTCAATCTCTCCATTTCGACCGGGTGACTTCATATTTGCCAGAATCAGGCTGAGATGCTTGACAACAAGACTCGACGCAGCACTGGCGTAAAGATGCGTGCTTCCCGACGTAATGAGTATTTCTGGATCGAGAAACGACTTCATGGTGAAAGTCAGCGCATCAAATCCAGCGCGAACGCAGGCGGCCTGGCCAGGTTCGCCGATGCTAGAGTCTTTTGCTAGTGTTTCAAAGAGAGTGTGCATCAACACCTCGCAGGCATCATATCTCCGATCGCGGCTGAGGGACTGAAGCCAAGGCTGGATCCATGAGGTGGGAAACGGTGTAAACTGAGACGCAAGGTCAACAACAGACCAGCAATCCTCTAGAGACTGTCGCAGAAGAGTCTTGTAGACGGGGCTGCCGAATAGCAGATCGGCAATCACATTTGGACGCGCGTCACCAACGACGTCCCAAAAAGCCTTTGGTGACTTCTTCAACAAGCCGCAAAGAACCTTGATAGTGACCACAAGTACACCTTCGGACCGACAAAACTGAATATGTCGAAATAGCAAGTCGTATATGTTGAAGCTCCCTGATGGAATTTCGAGGCTGCGGAGGCGGCTCAAAATGATTGCGTCATTGAGTGTCCTAAGGATACCTTCGAAGCCTTGCCAGAAGCGTTCAATCTCGAGATAAATTTCGCTGGTAGCCTGAGAAAGATCCTTCTTGCTAATGTCGTCTATTGAACTGACGAGGCCATCGTTAACGGCCCAGTCGAACTGCTCCTCCGTCATGCCGCCACTGTCAATGTTTTTCCAGTTCTCTGCTGCCCATCTTCGGCGGTCTTCGTTCTTCTGGTCAAACAAGAAGTAGGTCATTCCTGGTAGCGGGTCTTTGGTTCCCAGCTTGAGGTACGTCTTTCCCTGCAGGCGCATGAAGACATATTGGAAGACGGCTCGTTGCTCTGCGTTAGCCAAGTAGGCCACGCAACATAGCGCCTCGTAAACGGCGAGATGGACCTCGGTGAGGTGCTCGCCAAATTGTGATTTTTTGAAGACGGCTCCAGACTCTTCAATCTTTTCTATGAATTGCTTCGCCCAGGTCAAGTTGTGGTCGATTCGATTGACGTCGAGGTTGACTAGCAAATCACGGATCTGCGCAACAGCTTCTTCGTTCCATCGCCTAAACGGTGCATGTTAGCGACTGCACACATATCACGGTGTAGATGTGGGTGTAACTCACTCTGAAAACATTTGCAAATGATACTTGCGCTTCATGTGCCAGTTAAGGACACATTCGGGGCAATATTTGAGACAGTTCTCAAGCCTTCCGGTAAAATCTTCCAGCCATTTGCCAGCCTCCTGTTTATCGAAGCCGAATATCAAACTATTCCAGTAGGTGACCTCGATCCGCTTCTTGCTCTGTTCAATGCGACTTTGCTTCTCTTCGCTCGAAATCCTGGAGTCGGGATCATCGAGAGTCTTGTAGTTTTCGTCATCATCATCGTTGATTCGTGGGCAGAGGAGATGGCACTCTGCAGGGATCTGTTGGAATTCTTCGTACCATTTCCCCAGTACCTCGTTGATATCTGCCATTATATCGGACTACCTAGCTAGGCAGAAGCCCATCGCTAGAAGTTTCATCAAACAAGGGAAAGGAAATGCGGCTTGGGTATGGCTCTTTGCTTCCCGCTAGAGGTTGGCACCTGAAGAAGTGAAGATGTGTGGAGATGTATAGATGGGAAGAAAGAAGGAAAGGAAACGCGCGCCGTTTGCACAAAAAGCACAAAAATATGCGAGAAGATGAAGTGAGAAGAAGAGATGGAAAGTAGAGAGATGGAAAAGCAAAGCAAGATCGCGAACAAAGGACAAAGAAAATGTGGAGTCAATTGGGAAAAAAGGGTACAAGCGCGAGTGGTGCAGAGGTGTGGTACATGCCCCTCGCGCACCCCCCAGTGACGACAGAGAGGCAGCGCAGGTACCTTTCGTAGTCAACAAGGCCTTGTGAGAACCCCAGTGAGAAGGGTTTTAATTTTCTTGAGGCAACTCGATGATGGGAATCATTTGTGTTGAGGACAATGAGGTAGGATGCAGAAGGGCAGAAGTTATAGCGCATGTGACTTTTAAGCTTAGAGGTGCCTTATCGCTCTCCGTTATCTCAATACCATCAATTCGCTGAAAAGGCAACCTTGAAGGTACCTGCAACGGTGCTGACGGCGGTACCTTGCTTTCTCCAACGCGCGACTTGCCCGCAGTGATGTGCGTCTACAGGCTTGCGGGCACTTGCCGGGATTTAAATGGCGATTTGCTCAATGAAGAAGCGGCATCCATGTGTAACGAAAAATTATGCTGCCGAATCGATGAAGAAATCGGCAGCCCAAGATGAGGCTCACAGCGGACGTTCTTACAATGGGTAGGTAGGGAAAGGACTGTAAAGAGCAGGAAAGAATATGATTGTTTCTGTTTCCTGTTTAAATTGAGTTCTCTAATTTGCCATGACCACCGCCGTGAAAACGCAAGAAGCACCTTACCTAACTGTATTTTCCCGCTGTACTACTGTAGATATTCGACAGGCAAAGGCTCTATGCGAGCGATGATGTTCCCTTCTGCGAGCACCTGCAGCTACCCTGCACGTCAACGATTGGCCAGATATGGACCAGCTTCTCACCACATCAGTGAATGCAGTGTAATGCCCATGGATACTGGCCATCTCTTATTGTTGCATTTCCGTATGAATTTCATTTGCTGATGTTTGCTGCATAGCTTATGTGGTCTTTGTTAGTTGCCTACAGAAGAGTAAAGTCGAATGAAATACAGACGGTTGGCGGCATAAGTGTAGAAAACCTTGGCACTCCCCCTCTGATAGCCAGTCCCCCTGACAACAAGCTCACTTTTGTGCCCCTTTGCTTCAGATGCTCTTCACTTTGGTATCACAATTCTGAATATCTCAATTTTTGCTCGCTATGATTGGATAATTCGATAATTCCTGTGCAACGCAGCCTATCATTCACCGTGCAATTGCCCCCCGACCTCGCCCCCATGCCCAACTTCAAGTTGCTCTTCTTCGCACGATAATATGATCATCTTTCTTCCCTCCTTCAACCTCAACTTTTGTTATTTTGGCCGATATATGGAACTGCAATCGATATAATCTTCTCATCTTTCTTCGCGAAATGTCACCTCGGATAGTGATCGATTCCATTAGCGATGAGGAAGTACAATTTTTGACATCAAGGATTGCCGCCTCCGAAGATAGGCAAAGAGTCACATCCACAGTCACACTTGGCCGCGCAAGCGATGAAGACGAAGGAGATGTGCAAGAGCTGGTGGAATTGTTTGAGGAAGAAGTCATTGACCTCACCGGACATGAATTGGAGCATGGCCCCCATGGTCAGCTTCACGAAGGCGAATTGCCCATAGAAAAGTACCGCGATCCTCGTTCGGGAGCCCAATTCTCTCGTGGAGACTTGATACAGGTTCGAAACGTTGAGCTTGGGACGTACGAAATCGAGTTTGTTCAGATTCGGATCATCGCACGGGATCGCCATGGGCACTACAAGATACGCGGGTTACCCTTTGTGCGGACGAGGATGCTACGAGGAAAGCTGCTAAGAAAGGTCAACGAGATATGTATGCTACTTCACATTCAGAGACGAGACAACGGAGAAGAGCTTCCTGCAGTTCTCGTTGATGTTATCCCCACCTCGATTGTCAAGAGAAGAGAACTTGTCATTACCAACGCAGTCTACCCAGAACATTGCTACAATGCGACTAGTCTTGGTTTCAATGTTGGAGACGAACAAATGCAACAACGTCGAGCTGAAATTCATGGCTATCTTGTCTGCCGCTGGAAATTCACGATTTACTTTACCATGCAACACCAAAGTCGTGCTACGAGGCCAGAAGAAGAAGTTCTCGAGCGTGTCCAGCTAGACGACGTACCGAGTTCAAGATATCGTGTATCGGACGAGAGACTTTGCAATCAGTGGCGGGGTGGACGCACCAAGGGAGGCTCGTGGCCCCCGAGAGGGTCAGGAATCATTGATCTCGATTCGCGGCTAAATACGACTCGCTCCTCCAGCAATAGACGAAAAGAACAAAAGTATACATTTTTCGACTCCTTTTCTGGGGCGGGGGGTGTATCTCGCGGCGCTCAAAGCTCCGGTTTCAAAGTTCAGTACGCCGTGGATAAGTGGGACGGTGTTTAGCAAACATATCAGACCAACTTTCGCGACACGGAGCTATTCAAGATGTCTATTGACGAGTTTATTCGGGATACGAGAGACCGGTTGATGAGGGTTGACGTGTTACATTTGTCTCCGCCCTGTCAATATTTCTCGCCAGCACATACGCGCGAATCTGTCCATGATGAAACCAACATTTTCGCCCTCTTTGGGTGCCGCGAATTGATCAACAAGCTACGGCCACGTCTGGTCACGCTCGAGCAGACGTTTGGCATAACACATGAACGACATCACCAGTATCTGAGAGGCTTGATCGGAGACTACACTCAACTTGGCTACTCGGTTCGGTGGAAAGTGGTCAGACTCTGCACCTGGGGTTTAGCACAAGATAGAAAGCGCCTCATTATTCTTGCAGCTGCCCCAGGGGAAAAATTACCCCCTTTTCCCAAGCCTACCCATTCCGAGAATGGGACTGGCGGCTTGCAGCCGTTTACAACTATTCGGAAAGCAATTGGCTCCATCCGCGTTGGTGACGATCTACACAATCTCGACACTGTCAAGTATTATCGGCCACGTCGGGCGCCGCTTGATCCTAATCGGCTGGCAGGCACCATCACAACAGGAGGCAGCGAAGTATACTACCCGGACGGTACACGAGATTTTACTCTCCGCGAATATGCCTGCATTCAGGGATTCCCAAAGTGCCACAAGTTCATCGGGACGAAAACAAGCATAAGGAGACAAATCGGCAATGCGTTTCCCTCCAATACCATACGTGTGCTGTACCGACATCTGGAAGATTGGCTTCTGCAGCAAGATAGAATGACACGATATCAACCGATAACCGATGAAGTCCTCATTGTCGACAACTCTGACAACGACAACTCTGACAACGACAACTCTGATGAATATTTGCGCTGGCACACATCGCCGGGGGTACCTTCGTCTCCCGAGATGGATGAAGATGTTATGGAAATTGACTGCCCGCAAGAAAGGTTTCGGAATAATCTCCACAGAGGCAGCTCCTTTGTTGACCTCACATGAGTTGGGGATACAGTGGCCAAGGTGTTGCTCTCACATGATAATACATCATTTTCTGCGGTTTGTGATCGCGGCATTTTGGCTTGGGAGTCTAGAGGAGCCGTGAAAATGTCTTGATCATCTTCGGCTTTTCGGCAAGTAGAGCTGAGAAGCGAGGCCCAAATGATTTTTGGCTTTATATCTGTTGCTTCTACTTTTGGAAGAGAGTATTAGGTAGAGAGAAATTGTGTGACATAAACATGGAAGTGAGCAAGGCTTAGCTCGTCTTTGGGAGAGTAAACGCATGATGCCAGCCGTACTCCTATTGAGGGCTGATTCATGCTACTTTATATAGGTATTCATAATGGTAATACGCCTTGCACTGACTCACTGAACCGCATATAATGCCACTTGGTTTGTAATGTTTTGCAGCAAGTGACCTATAATCCCCATGACCGCCACTGCCTCTCGCCTGCTATCATTTCGCATCTAGGCAGGCACCTGGCGACTTCTGCCAACTGACCGCCAGCAGCTCAAGCACTGAATCACGCAACCTGCAGTCGCCTATGCCTATCAATGCCTATGTCTAACTTTACGCGTTTGTTCATCCAATGTTTTTGCCTTTTTTCTCAAAAAGTCAGCTGACCTAGAAGGGCTGCAGGCAACTACTTCAACCCTCCTCGCCTCCCTCCCACATCTTCCTCCTCCTTTCCTTGCCAACTCCCCGCCTTTCTTCTCTCTCTTCCAAAGATCCGCCCGCAGACCCTTGATTTCGACCTCTATTTCTTTCTTTCTCCGCTTGTTTGCATCTCCAAGCAACATACATGTGCCTCTTTGTTTACACCGCATTGTATATCAGACTGTTGATACGTCTCGTCCTGCACATCTTCGTTCACCCGCCCACTAAGAAGAAACTCCACGCTTGGGGTGTCGTCTTGTTCCGCGAATCCTGACCGTCAACGGTTGTTTTCTGTACTGGGATTCTTTTGCAACCTATCTCTATTCGACACTGTGATTTCAGGAGCTCCTGTCTTCATCCCATTCATTCTATTCTCCTCCTTGGCCAGTTTGAACTCGACAGTTCCATCAATCATTTGCCGCAACTCTCTACATCCAGCCCGAGATGACCATCAAACCTGGAGTCGAAGCCGTTATGGGCCCTACCATGGTATACAGCCATAGTCCCCCAAAACTTTGATCGCTATGCTGACGTGAAGGCCATGTTGGCTACAGATGAAACGGCCCATTATCAAGTTTCCGACCCAAGAAGAGTTTGTACATCGGTTAGAACGAGGCACCATGATCGAGATGGAGAATGAGATGTCCCAGCTCAAGAAACTCAACGAGCGCAGCGACACATACGCGGCATGGGTCATCGGACCCATCCCTGGGTGTCAGACATCATTCACGACGTCTTGGTTGCTTCTGGCTAGAAATCCATCTTCCTCTCTGAGTACTGGTTTTCCGACCATAACAGATAGATTCTCTATCGACATGGAAGCAAGTATCCAGCTGCCTCAGGGCTTGTTCGTCCTCTGGCATCTGCCAGCGACGCGAATCCAGAACCCATACGAAGATGTCGCTAGCTTGGATGGAAGCGCCATAAAAAAGCTCGCAGCGTTCAAAGTGGATGTTCCACGGTGTCAGAGGACTGAGAATGGAGAGCAGATAGAGGTTAACCTGATGGCGCACCTCCAAGTCTCTGGTGCGTTGGATGATTTCTCTGGTATAGTGTTGGACGAGACCAACCAGAAAAACATATACATCCGGTGGGAGATTTCGAGCAAGACTTTTGAAGCTGAGCTTGATGCATTGGACTTCTTTGTTGCGCCAAAGAGATCTGAGAAGAGAGCGCCGTGCTACCGTGCCAGACTTGCCTTTGAAATGCTACAACATTTCAAAGCAGAGGGCGCGGAAATGGTTGATCTTCTCTCAGAATATCCTCACCTCGCAGAGCCTAGCAAGCCTGCGCACAAGATCTCTCCTGTTCTGTTGAAGAAATTTGCACAATTCAATCACAATCACGTTGCGGCTCACCAGGGACTTGAACGAATAAAAAATGGCCTTTACTTTGTTAATGGCTGTCCCGGAGCAGGCAAAACCGAGTGGAATATGGTCATCTCTGCACTTATCCAGTCTCACTATACACATGCCGCCAAAAGGATTCCTCACCCGATTCTCTTTCTTGTCGACATTAATCAGACAGTGTCGGACGCAGCTGACAGATACCACTGCCTCTGCAAAGACGCCGGACTCGACGTTCGAATTATACGGATGCATGGGTGGCCTTATGAGATGCGCCATTCTGAAAGGCTGAATCAAGTGGGCGGCCAGAAGGATGATGGCGATGCGGCCACCGATTTTACCAAGAGTTTTCTGACGACTGTTGGTTTAACTCACCACGCTAAGCTGGAGCGAGATGACAGGCGTGCTCCCAACCTCGATGAGGCAGCTTGGGATCATTACGAGAAGCACAAGCATGACAGCTACCCTGGCCTTACGAAACTCCTTGGCCGCATGGAGAAGGACGAAGTTTTTGACAGCGAAGACTGGAGGCTTCTTCGACGCCTAGTCACCGGTTTGTACCGAGATGTTCTCACTAGTGCCGACTTCGTTGCTACGACTCCTGTAGCAGCCTCCGGCAGCTTTGCCAAGCTGTTTCGTCCAGAGATTATCTTTGTGGATGAGGCACCTCATGCTCGGGAGCTGACGACACTCATTCCTTTGGCATACTTTGATCCTGTGGCTTGGGTCTTCACTGGCGACGTGAAACAGACGCGCCCGTTTGTCGATAGCTGCGGCTCTGAGAGAAAAGCCCAGGAAAAAGGACTGAAATTCAACCCCTACGCTGAACAGCTGCGCCTCAGTACTATGGCACGAGCGGCAGCGGCTGATGCTCTTGACCACAAGCTACTCGTTAATAATCGCGCCTACGGCAATCTACAACGTCTTCCATCTCACATTTTCTACGACGGTGAGATGACATCAGGTCATAGTGAGGATACAATGTATCCGGCAAGCACGAAGTACCTGAAGGAGTACTTGGAGAAGCTCTCGGGAAGAGAGAACATGGAGGAAAACAGGCTCGTGGTGAGTCTTGCCAGCAGCTCTGAAGAAAGTCACCGCAGTAGTTTCTGGAATCCCCAGCAGCATCGCTGGGTGATCCAGCAAGCGAAGAGTCTGTTGGAAGATGTGAAGTTTCGAAGCGTCTCTGGGGCCCCTGGCACTATCATGATTCAAACCCCATACAGCACAGCATATCGGCAGTACCAGAGCGAGGTAAAACAATGGCCTGCAGAGTGGCAAAGCCGTGTGTCAGTATTGACGGTAGATAAAGCCCAAGGCAACCAAGCAGATGTCGTTTTCCTTGACATGGTCAGAACTACGTCGGTTGGTTTTATGGATGACCCGCAGCGACTGAACGTCGCCATTACTCGGGCGAGACAGGCCGAGGTCATAATCATGCACGTCCGCATGAACTATCGGCAGGCGAAAGGATGCCGACGGGCTAAATACGCCGCGCAAGTCTGGGCAGATGCCCACACGCACAGACGTCTTGTTCATCTGCACTAGTTTGAACTATTGGTGTGTGCTACGAAGAAGTCATTGATGTTTACGGCTGTGTGATATTGGGAATTTGACTGAGACTATGGAGAGCCAGTGTGTCCAAATCAGCAGAATACTAGGCGTTGGGGAATATGGTTGTGACATTTAAATGCTGAGTCTCTGTTGTATAAAAGGGAAATGGACATGGAGTGAGCCAATTGGCTACAGAGCGGATAGGGGATGATGAAAAGCTGTAATGTTACTATACGAGGAGTGCTGAGCAACTAGAGAGGCTTAGGAGTTTGTTGTAACAGCGTTTGTGGCGCGATGTGAAATGAAGAATAGAAGAGGCCTCTCACCCTCGGAGTTCCCTCCTTGTGCAGAAGAGCAACCAGCCCGCGTCGGAGATCCTCTTACAGATAGGCGTGTTGCACGTTGTTGATATCCCTTGGAAGTATTCTCCTGAATCACGGAGATTGTATGATGGTGGTGCGAAGCATCAAAACCTCCTTTGTTGAAGGGGGCTGGATTCGCGGACTGGCCCGAGGCCCGCGTGCCGAATTCAGGCACAAGATGCGAACCAGCCGCAGCAGAGTACGTGGTTTCTGTTCTCCGCAGCTTTGCGTTATCATTGCGTACAGTACTCGTACAAGCATCAAACTTGACGCGAGCGCGAGTGGCATCTGCACAGTCGGAAAATTTAGAGGAAGCGAAGACAAAAAAAAAAAAGGAGCTCTCCAAATAGCGTTCTGGGCAAACAACCGTCGTTGAATTTGCGTATCCGCATATCACCTCCTTGTAATCCCAATACCCCGTATTTGGCACCGGGCCAGTGCTGGAGCTAAGCTGCAATACCCCATCCTGTTGCATGAAGAAGAATCGCGGGAATAGCTGCAACGAAGCACCCGGACTCCGCTCCGTTGTAAAAGAGGGAGAGTTTGGTACAGGTAGGAATTGCCTTATATGGCAACGTGGGTCGGGTTTAGTTTAGGATGGCCACGTGCTGAAGCTACAATATAGCAGGGCATCTACTATTAAGTAGTAAGTTCGGCCTTTGTTTTTTTAAGGCTTAATGTTGCAGACTCTCTCATTGATATAGATAACTAGTTGTCGTTAGGATTCAGAGAGATACACAAATTTTGAAGTCGACTGCTACTGTTGCATCCAAGTTCCAGAATTAACAGCGGAGAGAGAGCCGGTAAATATGGGGCAAATCTCGCAAAAGTTCCGGGTGGTTGGATGACAGGGCGGGTGGCAGACGGCGAGGCTGATTTTGGCAGTTCCTAGGCATTTCCTGGGAAGTGCCAGTCTTAGCTGCTACAGCACGGAGTACTATAATAGCACATATAAGATACCTGCGGCAGTTGCTGGATTACCGCGACCATCAAACGGGTTTCGGAGCTGCGAGTTGGTAGCTTTTAGCATTAGCAGAGTAACATTACCGTTTTAGGAGGATTTCGCGACATCGAGTCATATCTCCTCCCTCAGCGCTGTCGGCACTGACGGGACAAGTGCCGCTGCTATTGGCTGTTGGGGTTGGGCGAGAAACCGGCTGGACTTGTTGATAGATAGGATTCGCTGTGTTGTCATGAATCGTACAACAACAACAAGTACAGTAAGCCGGCAGCGACTCTGCAGTCAGACAAGGATGCAACAACTTTGTGGTCTACTACCTGGACTAGGTATGTAGTACGGATTATTAGTTGCACGGGCGAAGTTGGTTTAGGGGGGGCGATCTCGCTTGGGAAACTTGAGAACCAAGTAGCACCTAAGTTGTCTCTATTCTGGATAGAGTGCCTAAGCAATAGCTAGACGGCTTGATCTCATTATACTGTATATGGTATTAGCTGCTCACTGTCGCGACCGTGAGCGAATTTGGAGTCAGAAAGCGACGTGACATTGACGCCAATTATAGAACTATCCCGAGCAGCTCCTCCGCCCGTTCTTCACACGTCCTTAAGCGCCGGCCTAAGTGAGTGGGGGAGAAAAAGCCATCATCAGTCGATGGGGGAGAATTCGCACCAGACGCCACCTCGGGTATTTTGGCGTGCGGGTAGAAGTACTGAACATCCATCCATCTTAGCATGCCGCTGCTACTGCTTGGAAGTACATGTGTAATTACTTGGTGCCATGTTACGTGGGCCCTGTAGGATCAAAGTGCCCGTGCTTGCTTGTGAGAGCTTGGATCACCTTGGACCGAAATCATTTTCTTCATTGTGAATTCGCTGCCCGGGCGGGGGAAGCGGCCGCTATAGTGGGAGGAAGTTGAATGAAACGAGCTGAACCAATTGCTCAGCCTGGTCTACCTCTGATTTTATCCGAGCGAATCGTCCGTCTCAGCACCTACAGCACAGATTGTGCCAGGCCTGGAGAAGTCAGTCAGTACATCCCCATACACGTGCCAGGTAGCAGATCCCGAACGAGAAATCCACCGCCTTGCCTCTTTCAGCTAGCACTACGTGCGCATTCAGGCCTAGACGTGAGCACCCATGCATGTGCTACGTACTTGTCTACTTGCACCAACTGCTCAGCCCTGTGTCCACCTGCAAGTACGTACATGTACAGGTCAACGGGTAGCTGCAAGAGAGCGAAGGAAGGGCCCTGCTGACACTCCATACAAAGCCCAGCGCTCGCCTTTTGCCTTCTCATTCTCTCACCTGCTAGTGTGAATAATCCGACCCTTTTTTCTCTGCCTGTGCCTCTCCATGATGAGGATTTCCTGACACCACCTACAAGAAGGCCTTGGAGCAGTCTTCTCTGATACTGCCGACCCCTGCACTTGGGCGAGACAGCCGTTTTTTGGCCGTGGGCGGCCTCCCGCGCTATTCGAATTTGAGAGAGCAGAGAACTACAGCGGACCGACCTCAGGCAGCAAGGAGCAATGGCCTCATCCAGCTCCGTCGCCACGACAGTTGCCACGACCGACACGACCTCAATCGGCGACCGTGTGCGAGCTGTGAGAGGGATAGCGAGCTATGCGTTGGCAAGAAGTTTGGAGTCGTTGCGCGGGCGGGTGCTTGGGGCGGATATGAATGTGAATGTGCTTGTGAATAGGAACGGCAATGGGAATGGGAATGGGAATGGAAATGGGAACAGGCTTGAATCCAGAATCACCCACAACGAATTGCATATGCACAAACGACATCTGAGCGGCGGCGCAATTGCTGGAATCACCGTCGGCGTGGTGATTGCGGTTGCACTGCTGGCCATCTGCCTGTACCCGTGCTTCCTCTATCTCAAGCGTCGTCGAAGCAGCCATTCACATCCGCCGTTCGATGCCGAGGTGGGCGCTGTTGGAGCCGGGCACGGTAGCAGCGCTTCTGGCGGAGCAAACACGCCTCCCAAACGCCTCTCGTCGAGCGATTCATACAAGCACAAAGGAGACTTGACGCGCGGAGGAGAAGGCGATGGAGGAAGTGCCGACTATGGCCATTGGGACGCTCATGCGGATCACCACCTTAACAATGGCTATTCTTTCCCTCTCAACACAGCATACCTGCAGCCTGGGGATCCCGGACTCGTCAATGGCGGCATTGCTGATGAGTACCGGGTCAAAGCGCAACCATTCCCGCTGCTGGGTTGCGACGATGGCGAGTTTGCACCGCCATTAACAGACGATCTCGAGCCCGGCGTTCTCAAAGGCACCAGCGCCGACTACTACAGTCCTCATATCCCATCTGAGGCATTTGGCATGGTGATGCAGCCCGATCCGCCGGTCGACTCGCCTCAGCCACCCTCTTCTTCGCGTTCCAGCTCTCTTCGCTTGAACATGATGCACATGTTCCGGCGTAAGTCAGGCAGAGACGCAACATTTGATTCTACCATTTCACGAACAACCATTCCAGAAGGAGATCCAGCTTCATCTCAACTTGATGGGGCGACTCCGCTGCAAGCCATAACCAGTGGCGACCATGTCGAGTCTCCCACAAACCTCTCGGCTGCCTCCCTGCCCCTCTCACACCACCAACCAGAAGCTGAAGCGGCGACTGAAGCAAGCCTGGCGCCAGTCAGCCCTCCCGTTAGTAATGCGCCAGAGCCTCCTTCAAAAGCCTCGCTTCCTGAGTCTTCTCCATTCCCATCATATCATCAATTTCGAAAGTCTCCCTCTCCTCCTGTTGCCTCGCCCGGAACTGTAAACCCCATGGACATCATGCCTGCCTCCACGGAAACCGAAGTTTGGCATAAAACTGAGCACCAACTTTACGAGGCCTTCCATAAGCCGTCGCAAAGTGACCCTGCTGCTTCATTACCACAGGAGGGACTCGCCAATGGCTCCGTTATGCCGTCTCCATCCCCGACACCTCCTGAAACGCAGCCTCAGCCAATCTTTACAGTGCAGTCGCCCGGCTCTACAAACCACACCGAATTCATTCCTGATTACATCACCACCACCACCAACCCCAACACTGAAATCGACCAAGCGAATACTCAGCTTGATAACGGCGATGTCGTCATGGTAGACTCAAGTCTTCCTCCGAACCACGACCACAGCTTGGCAGCACCAGACGGCCGGCATCCAAGCTACCCCTCCGATCATTCCACCCCACTCCCCGGCCCCTCCTTTACCGACGTTTCATCACAGAACACGCCCTCGACTGGATTGGATACACCTTCGCCTGAGTCTGTGGGAAGCTCTGATTTCCGACATAGCGCGTCGCCGCACTCTGGGGCTGGTAGCCACTCTCCCAGGACTGGAGTCTACCGATGCGATGAGCCTGGGTGTAACCAGTCCTTTGACCAACCCCACAAGCTCAAGTATGACATTCCTTTTTTCCGTGTGTCAGTGTGCTCACCGATACTAACGTTATCCTTCTTTTCCAGGCATCATCAGCGCTATCACAGTAAAGACCACAAGTGCCCTTACCCAGGCTGTGGCAAGGGCTTTGGCACCAAGACCCATTTGCAGAGACATATCAATGACAGGCACGAGAAGAAGAAGAAATTCCATTGTTCTGTTGCCGGCTGCGATTATTCCAGAGCAGGCGGCAAAGCCTTCCCCAGAAAAGATAATTGGAAGAGACACATGATCAAGATTCACAATATTGAACAGCAACAACTTCCAGAGCCGATTGAAGTCGACATGGATGTAGACGGAATATGAGCGAAACAAAGAGAGAGAGATAAAGGAAATAACCAATTCTACAGAAGACGGAGGAAAGAGAAGCGAGAGACGACGCGTAGAGGAATTACTCTATGCTGCTCCACGAGTATACCACCGAGGACACCCACTTGTTCAAGGGTGATCCATGATATGACACTTTGAAACTTTCATGAATACCCCGTCTATTGCAAGTCGAGTTGTCAAAAAGGCGTTTCATTCTACGGCAGCTTTTGAAACACGGTTAGCGTTTTGACTCAAGTCAGCGAGTAAATCCGTGGGGAAACGGGACCCAATTATAAGCTATACATTATTTTCACTTTAACAACCCTGGCAGGCCTCCATCCTCGCCTGCGTGCCACGGCGTTGGCAGCGTTTTTTTCTTCTTCCATACGAGTATTTAGCGATGTCTGTCGTTATCTCATCAAGCGCACAGGGTACACAGTCCGACTAGGAAATGGCATTGGAGCTTCATCAAGCACTTGGATATTGCAAGGCGTTTTAATTAACTTATATTTTTGTATTATATGGATGGCCCGCCTGTTGCCTTTCTTACAATGGTAAAAAAAAAAAATCTGTAGGGGCGGGCTAGAGGGAGGCGTTGTTTATATCTCTAGGCAGACAGGCAAGCATCCCTGCTGAGACAAACAGTGCGCGATGGGTATATGTAACATGGGCAGCTGACCCGGCGGAATAAAAGAGGCCGTTGGTTTACTGCGAATATTCTCTTTGCTTCTTGCTTCGGTCCTTTCAGCTCAGTTCCTTGATTAATCTTCTGACCAATTTTCTCTGCTCATCTACGCTGAGCGACTTTTCGTCTGTCTCCTGGATGGCCCTGCCGACGGCGATGATGGCCTTTGCGCTATCGCTGTCTACCCATAATCTGCCGTTTCTGCCCGTCGCCGTCTCAAACTGAACGCCGGCGTCAGCAAGCTCGTCCAAAACGACGAGCTTGCCGTGTTGTGCCTTTTTGGGCATCATCAAGAGACGGGCCATGCCAAGGGATATCGTAAATAACATGCCGCCCACCAATGGCCCTAGACCATCGGCTTTGCCTGTTGAAGCAGAGACACACTCGAGCTCTGCGTCCATGTGCTTGTTTGCCAGAGTAACACGGGCGTAGACCAACGCTCCGGGGGTTAAGATGGGGCGCGTCTTTTTCGTGGCGGATTCGAATGAGAGCTGGGGGAGGAGGGCGGGAGCGGTGTAGTCGGAGAGGTTGACGAAGTAGACTTCAGAGACGGATTTGTTGATGGTGCCGATGACGAGCTCGCCTACGCGTGGGATATACTGGTCGAAAGCGTTAGCCCTTTAGACAAGACAAATTGATACAGTCGTAGACCAATCTCACCCTGCCATTTGACGTCTCTACACGAATGGCGTTCTTCTGTCGGTCTGTTACGAGCTGGCCGGCCAGCGTCGGGAGGATATCGCTCGGAGGGACATGACGCAGGCCCGGACCCAGGCGGAGCGGCTTCTTTGGATTTGAAGGTATCAATGAGGGATCGATGCGGTCACCCGGCAGGACAAAGACCGGTTCTGAAGACATGCTGTGGCGACTCGACTCTTTAATATATGTATCCAAGGCAAGTTGTTGTAGCTTCGATAATCAACGATAAGAGGAATGGCGTCTTTCGTTTCTTGTATTCAGCCTTGCGTTGCTGCTCTGGGACGAATTATTTTTTTGCCTTGATTGGGCGGATAAGCGATAAGACGTCCTGCTATCGAGGGGTACGTCTGATTGGCTGCTGGCCTATCGCCGCGCCGCGGGGTGCCTGTAGCCTCCACTAACATTGGAACCAGTTTGGCTGGGTTTTTCCTCTGCTCGAAATTTTTTGTAAGAGGAAAAAAAAAAAAGTAGCCCCTCCACCAGAAAACCGACTCCCCCCGATCCAATCCAATCCACCCTCCCTCACAATCTTTTTGCTTGCGGATTGACGGAGGCAGAAGAACGTTCATTTTTTTCTTTTTGATCTAATCTCTTTTGGTTTTTCACAAATACCACACAAACTCGTTCCGAATGTCTGAGAGCAACGGCGTCCAGGCCGCGGTCGAGCCCGGCAACCGGGTTGCCATTGGCATCACCTTTGGCAACTCCAACAGTTCCATTGCCTTTACCGTTGACGACAAGGTCGAGGTTATTGCCAACGAGGACGGTGGTACGTTTTGAGTTTGCCCCGAGTTTAGACAGAGCTTGTTATTTTGGGGGAGGGGTGTTGGTTATATGGCGCAGCAGCAGCCTCTCCCGATCCCACAAGCTCTATCTAGCCTGAAGGTTTTGTTCTCTTCTTCTCGACTGACAAGTTGTGGCATCACAGACCGACAGATTCCCACCGCTCTCTCCTACGTCGATGGCGATGAGTACTACGGCACTCAGGCCAAGGCCTTCTTGGTCCGCAACCCCACCAACACCATTGCCTACTTCAGAGACTTCCTAGGCCAAGAGTACGACTGCCATTATTCTCAAAATCTGATATCATGGAGTGATGATAAGACATGACGAGACAGATTAAAGATATAAAGCTAACAATCCTGCTCAGGTTCAAGTCAATTGACCCCACACACTGCCATGCTGCTGCTCACCCCCAGGATGCCTCCGGTGCCGTTTCCTTCACCGTCAAGGACAAGGCCGGCGAGGACGACGCTCCTTCAGATATCTCAGTCTCCGAGGCCGCCACCCGATATCTGCGACGCCTCGTCACCGCCGCCTCCGAGTACCTGGGCAAGAGAGTCACCTCGGCCGTCATCACCGTCCCCACCAACTTCTCCGAGAAGCAGCGCGAGGCCCTGATCAAGGCCGCCAGTGATGCCGACCTCGAGGTCCTTCAGCTCATCTCCGACCCCATTGCCGCCGTGCTGGCCTACGATGCCCGCCCTGAGGCCAAGACTGAGGACAAGATCATTGTTGTCGCCGACCTGGGTGGCACCCGCTCCGACGTCGCCGTTGTTGCCTCAAGAGGCGGCATGTACACCATCCTGGCCACCGCCCACGACTACGAGTTCGCCGGTGTCCACCTCGACCAGGCCCTGATGGAGTACTTCGCCAAGGAGTTCATCAAGAAGCACACCGTTGACCCCCGATCAAACGCCAGGAGCTTGGCCAAGCTCCGCCTCGAGTCTGAGGCCACCAAGAAGGCCCTCAGCTTGGGCACCAACGCCCAGTTCAGCGTCGAGAGCTTGGCTGACGGATTCGATTTCTCCGCTACCCTCAACAGGACACGATACGAGATGGTTGGCCGCAAGGTCTTTGAGGGCTTCAACCGCCTCGTCGAGAGCGTTGTCAAGAAGGCCGAGCTCGACGTCCTGGACGTTGACGAGGTCATCATGTGCGGTGGTACCTCTCACACTCCCCGAATTGCCACCAACTTCCAGTCCATCTTCCCCGAGTCGACCGTCATCCTCGCGCCCGCCACCAGCACCACCGCCATCAACCCCTCTGAGCTGCAGGCCCGCGGTGCCGCTCTCCAGGCCTCGCTGATCCAGGAGTACGAGGCTGCCGATATCGAGCAGTCGACTCACCCCGCCGTCACCACCGTCAAGCACATCTCCAACGCCATCGGTGTTGTCACCGTCAACGCCGAGGGCGAGGACGTCTTCACCCCCATCATGCAGGCCGAGACTGCTGTTCCCGCCCGCCGCACTGTCCACATCGCCGCCCCTGCCGAGGGCGGTGACGTCCTGATCAAGGTTGTCGAGGGTGGCACTCACATCAAGGTCACCAAGCCTGAGCCCAAGGCCAGAGTCGAGGAAGTCCCCGAGGACGAGGACGATTCCGACTTCGAGGATGAGGAAGAGGAGGAGAAGCGCGAGAAGATCTGGAAGATTGGCACACCCCTCGCCGAGGCCGCCATCAAGGGCGTCTCCAAGGGTGGCAAGGTCGAGGTCACCATCAACGTCGCCGGAGATCTCAGCGTTACAGTCACGGCTAGGGAAGTTGGCGGCAAGGGTGGTGTCAGGGGCAACCTGCAGGCTCCTTAAATGTTAAGGACAGTCAAAAAGGTAGAAGGAGGGATATGAGGGCAAAACGCTTATCTTGGCGAGTGAATACACACACAAGCATGGTATGAATGTAGAAGAAGCGTCCGGATGCTTGGAGGGGGAGGGCATATCTTTTTTATATAGATTTCATGAGGGAGAGGGAGGCTTGCTTTACTCGAGAGATTCTAGAGAGGATGGAGCAAGAATACGGCCGAAAAATCATATGGGTTCGGAGGGGATAAATAAAAAAGGAGTCGATGTTGGCATTCCAATACAGAGAAAATGATGTGCAAATCGCGATACAAGACTCAGTATTATATGTATAAATTTGATGTATGTAGACAGTGAGAGAGCATTAGAAAACCAACTATTGCCAACCTCCGTAACACCGAACCTGCAGAGCCGGAGATGGCTCAACGAGATAGCCGAAACCAAATACAAAGATGGGAATTGGAGAGAGGAGGATTATCCTTCTTCCAAGATTCGCTGCGTAAAAAAGAAAAGAGAAAAACCGCAATCATCTATACCGCTACGCTCCCAGGTAAACTCCAAGCAACTAAATCATCTCTCACATCAGATTCTCCAATTTCCTTTGTGCGCTTCATGTGTTCTCTTTCGCGTTCGCTGCTCCCCATCGTGGGCGCCAGGCTCATCAGACTGACCACGCTCTTAGAGCTCATTAAGTCATCTTCGCGGCTGTCATCGCGGAGAATACGAACGCCCTTCTTAAGCGGAGTGCGGTTCCCTCCCACCGTGACGGTCGAAACGCTCTTGTCGCTCGAGCCAGAAAGGGTACGGCGATGATGAGAGTGTGGGCTTTGGTGTTGATAGGAGCTGCCAGGGCGAAAATGGGATGAGGAATTTGAGTGGTTGCGGCGATGGTTCATAGCCATGCGGCGATATTCATTAGGTCGAAGGGTGCCATTATTCTCGACGTCCTCATCATAGTAATCGTCTTCAGAGTCAGGGCTGGTGGCGCTTCTATGCTTGGTCCTCCAGCCGTTGCCGCCAGCGAAGATATCCTCAATACATTCATCAGTAGGGAGCTCCGAGGGCTGGCGAGTCCATGATGCTGCGAGGGCCCGACGGTATAGATCTTGAACCTCGGCAACGTCCCGATTTTTAGATAAGGTCGGTAGAGCTACCTTGTTATCAGCTTCAAGAGAATAATCGTTAATAAATCACCGCGCGCAAATCAAGGGTGCAAAAAAGACATTGTCTAACAAGGGTTTACTTACGTCCCAAGATTTCATCTTCAACTTGTTCCGGCGCCATGAACCCTACAATGCCTCCAAAGACTGGGGCCGTCTTGAGCGGCGGCGCAATGAAGTTGCGTTCGCCATCGACCTGGATGAGCAGAATACTGATTTTGAGAGTGCTGTTGACTTTGCTCTCTTGCATGAGATATCTGCGCATGATACCATCCTGAACCTCTCTCTGAATCTCATCAGACAATTTCAGTTCCTTGGCACTCGTAGGACTCAGTCCAGCGCTGTTGGTTCGCCTTCTCGATGACACTGGTGATGAAGGATCCCTCAGAAAGTTTTCGCTCTCCTCGACAAACTCCGCGAGGTTAATCTTGATGTAACCAAGGGTGATCTTCTCCGTAAGCGCAAACTCTTGGACGATCTCAAGCTCCAGTTGGCACTCATTGAGACTGTTGTTTTTGTCGACGGACATCCGCACGCCTGTTATCACCTTCTGGAAGTTATACTCCACTCGATGATTGGCAATGGCAGCTTTTGGGGTGCGGCCGCGATGCTCGGCATGCATAGAGTGGGTGAGATGCCATTTGATAAAAGATGTTCCAGAAACGAGAGGTACATTGTTCAAATCATAAATCTAGCCAGTGTTAGCCAAGGAGTGATCATGTGAACTCGAGATGAGATTGAGTATCGTATAATAATAATAATAATCTTACCTTGAGATGAAGTTCAAACTTGGGCTAGACACAGAATGCCGTTAGTAATAAGTCACTTGGCAGGCCAAGAGATGGCCAAGAGATGGACGGAAAAGGGTATCGAATTTGCCTCACCTTGCGCCCCTTACCAACTGGGGGGAAAAAAGGCATGTTAGCCAATTGCTATTGCAAAAATATCTTCCGCGAGACGGAGTCTTCCGGATCAGCCGGACAGAAGGACGAATCGCGTCCAAGCAGCTCACTTGAGCAAACGATCGACTTGAAGAGAATGAGACGACGCTGATCCAGCAACGACCAAAGGTATGAGCACGAAGGAAGGAATGTGACAGGGGCCACGGCCACTGAAAAGGCTGCCGGATACGTGGTAACAGGCCGTCATGCCCATTCGGGCCGTGATAGTTCACCAATACGACAAGCGGGAGAGTCGGGCTTACTCAAGGCAGACATCTGTAGCCAAACAAGGCCACGGCTAATAATAACCAAGCAACCAGTGCCGGTAAGGCCTAGGCAGTTTCACTAGTATGAGTTGGTTTGATGCTGCAGGATGCTGCAGCTGCAGATAGCAAAGGAAAAATTATGGAACTGGAACTGAAGCTCCGCGGCGCGACACGCTAATTGGTGCGAACCGGTAAAGGCTAACCGGAGAGAAGCGATTCTGGGTCAGTAAAGCAACCTCGAGATATGCGGTTGACCGGCTGGGGGGCGTGGGGGTGGAGGGAGCAGTTGGCCGGGGCCAGAAGATATGCGGAAAGCTTGACGATGGGATGGACGGTTGGAAGATGGACGATGAGACGGCAAGCTGAGCGCTAGTAGACTCTGGAATGCGGAATGCTGCTCAACATCCGTCGCGTGCCCCCTTTTGCCTGGTAGATGAGGTGGTATTAGAGATGAGCTGCAGCTGTCGTGGATACACGGATCTCCTGTCTGGCGAGCTATGGGGAATAATGAAACAGGATACGCGTACCCTTCAGGGATGAGGTCGCTATAAATCCGAACCCGGTTGTGCCGATTCGTATTTGCGGTTGGTAGCGTCGTTGACAGGGATGATATTCCGGATGTAGAAGAGAGATGGTGGTTGTTGTGTGAGTGAGTGATGCTGCAGTGCGATCACCAAATAGATGTCATTCAAAATGGAGCTCGGAGTATAACAGGCTAATATGAGTGGTATAGATTATCAAAATATAAAAAAAGAAGCGAGGTTGATGAATCAGTTGGATCTCCAGCAGATGTCTTGGGATGTGTGTATTGTTGAAAAAGTTGGAGGAGGGTAGAAGTGCGGGCGATCCAAGTTAACATTTACAGGCATACTTGAGTTGCCAGGGAAATGGTGGCAGAATTAGTTTACAGAGGCTTTAGTGATAGTTTCAAGGCGGTGAATTCGCTAAAGGACAGCCCAGAGTTTAATGCATCAAAACTTTGTATGTGGAAGCCTATACATGCCTTGTACAAAAGTAGACCCTCGCAGCAGTGCCGATAGCAACGAGAGTCAACAAAGAAAGTAAACGATGAAACTTTGAGTTTGCCCCCTGCATCTGGGGAAAAAAAGCTACATCCGTTGATGGTAGACTGAGGGTGTCACAAGTACTAACAAAAAGTGATGTCATAGAGAAACGCCGTTTCTTCTCTATCAATTTACTGCGAAAGGGCACGATCTTTAGAGGGCTTTGTAAATTATTCACGAAAAAGAAAACGAGCATCCGATGAGCTAAAGCTTTTAATATGTATAAATCTCCTGTATAGTTTACGCATATTGTAATTTGCGATTGGGTATCACAACAGCAAGGTTGGTTGAACAGCACTTCATTTAGTAGCTTGCCATTCACTCATCAAACGCAAAAGCGATCCATATAGCTCACTGCCGCGCTTATCGATAACGCAACTTGACCAAGAAAGTTTCCCAGGCCTTTCCAAGCATCGCCGCGACAACAAAACCGTGTTCAAGGACGCAATTGGGCTTCGCACAAGCTCGCCAGCTCGCCATTGCGATGGCCTCGAATCATCCTACAGGCGGACAATCCGGTCCAGCCTCCAAAAAGCGCGGCGCTCCTGCTGCCAACGGCCGAAGCGATGCGTTCATGCAGAAACGCGCCAAGGTTCACGCCGCACGCAACATCCCCACGCAAGCTGCCGATGCTGCACTCAAGGATGGTGAGCTGGACCTGGTGGCCTTTGTGGCTGCTCACGAGTTTGAGATCCGCGCTTTGGAACAGAGCATGGCCACGTCCAAGGCAGTGAGGAGCAGCAGAGCTTTCCAGCAGGTGCCCCGCGGCCTGAGAAGACGGACAGCGAGTCACAATCCTAAGCGGGTGCCTCGAAGGCTGCGGGTGAGGGCCAGGAAAGAAATGGCCGAAGACAACACTCCCCTAGTTGAGTCGAGAAGGAGGAAGCCGAGGACGACGAGAGCAAGAATACGGGCCCAAATGGCCAAGAGACTTCGGATACTCGCGGCGCGAAAGAGGAAGAGGAAGCAAAGCAAGACCGACGACAATAGCCAAAACGATCCAAAAGAGGCAGCCAAAGACGTTGGTGTTGTGGGAAGGACTCCTAGGCCCAAGGTACGGAGGAACGCGCTCAACGAACCGCCGAAACCACCTGCAAAGTTCAGAAAGCGCCAGATGAACAAAACCTGGCTGCCGACACATCAATGGCATGCAAAGAGGGCTCGCATGACAGAACCCAAGGAGCCCCTGTGGCGCTTCGCCATCCCGTTGACACCAAACGAGAAGATTTACCGGCCGACACACAGGGCGCAGGGAGAGCGTGGTACCATGGTTTGGGACATGACTTATATGAGCACGATCGGTCTATATGGAAACTTTGCCGGCATGAGGAGGGTCCTACAGAGGGTCGGAGTGACGCACGACTCTTGCTGGGATGACAGAGGGAGCAAATGGAGGCAGGGCACAAGAGCGTGGACTGGCATCTTGAACAGAGAGAGAGTTGGGGTTCAGCGGCCCATGTGCCAATCGACCGTCATTTGGGACCCTGAGCCACAGTCACAGAATGTCGAGCAAGGTCAGGGAGAGGGCGAGACAGAACAAAACGGAGCTGAGAAAAAGACACAAAGACGGGTCTTTATCAGAGTCCACCCTTCAGCTTTTCTAGAGATGTTTAATGAGCTGTTACGCTTGACAAAGATGGAAAATCCCCGATTATACATTGAGGACCTGCGATTCGAAATTGGAAGCATTGAGCTCTCAGGCCCTGCCTCCACCGAGACGCTACTGTCTGTCTTGGCGGCGTATCCGTCTGGATCGAGCCCAAAGAACAAACATGCCGAGTTATTCGAGTCATTAAAGGGATTAACAAATCCGGCGGCCCTACCACATAATTCGATTCTAAACTTTACAGCCCAGGATCCTCGGTTGAGATACCCGCCGCGGAGGATGGAATTTCCCGAGGACGAACAGGCACAGATCGAATTATTAACTACAATCGCCGAGTGGCCCGCTGAAGAGAGCCTGCAGCCCTCACTTTTATTCGACCGACAGGCCCGTCACAAGGCCTCGTGTTTGCCGTCTCAAAAGTCCATCAACAGAAGAAGAAGCAAAGTCACATCTGGGGCTCTGTTGAAGCCAACAAGCCTGGACCCTCCCATTCCCATCACTCTCATTGCCTCACGTTCTGCAGCAAGTACACAGGCGCAAGGAACGTGGACTCTCCTTGCACCCTGGAAGTGCATCCTTCCTCTGTGGTACAGCATCGTTCATTGCCCGCTGGTTTCAGGTGGCAACCCGCGGTTTGCAGGACTAAACGAGATAATGCAAGTTGCTTTTGAGCGCAGTCTTCCGTGGTTCCCAGCAGACTTTCTCGGAACCGATGCTGGAGCGGAATGGGAGCTTGAGAGGAGACAGAGGCGAAAGAGGGAGTGGGCAAGACGGCCCAAAAGCAAGAGGGTCGAATGGGCGTCGCTCAATCTGGGTGCAGGGCGACAGGGCGAGATTGGAGATGGACACGCCTGTGACTTTGAATACTTGTTTGGTCTTGTACAGCAGCAGGCGCTGCAGCAGAACAAGGATTCGAGAGCCTCGCCGGATGGCACTTCGGGTGAAGCAATGGAGGTTGATGGCGAAGACGCAGCGCCCATCGAAAAGAAGACCGACGACATGCCGTACCTCAAGCTGTTGAGCAGCATCCCCAAGGCCACATTCAACAGTCTTGTTTCGCCATCCCCGACTACACAACCACTCCCTCCAAACGCGATCGCCTGTGTCCGTATATCCCTCCTCTCACGAGGCGTTGTCAGCCCATGCGCGAGAATATACCGCCTCCCCTCTGTTCCCATCTCCATACCGCCGTCTTCCGACGCTGAAGTCCCCGCAAGCATACCTCCAGAAGCAACATCTCTTCCATCAGATCTCCGTTCACAGTGGCTTTCACGCATCCCATCATCTTCAACTTCAAAGTCTACATCATCTTCCCAATCTCAGCCCAAGAAGAGAGCGTCTCGATTAGACGATATGGAGACGCGAAAACGCCTTCTAGCACAAGAGCTTCTCGCTGCTCCACCAAGTTTGGACGGTACCCCAGCGCCGAACGAGATCGATATCGGAGGACACCATCCGCTCGTGCCTAACGCAGAGGACCTCATTGGCTTCGTCACCACAGGATCATTTTGCTTGGCCAACGGCCGGGGCGCTGCCATTGGGAGCATAGCCGTGGAGAAGGTATTGCCGGATATCAGGACAAACTCTAAGGAGGGAAGGCTGTGCATCGTGAGGAACGCCGGCGAGAATGTCGGCTGGATCGCGAGATGGGAGGTTGTTTAACGGTGGTTGTTGGCATTGCGTGTTGCTTTCGATGGATCTCTACGTAAGTGGTACTGCAGTTATGAATTGATGATGTCTTTTGTTTTCTAGAGTAGAAAGCCAGAGCTGTAATTGATCCATACCAATAAGCGCTGCATTACCATCTCTACATGCCCTTCCTTGCCTCATTCCGTGTCCATCATCTGTTGCTTTTGATGTCGTCGATCTAGCAAGCAGCCTCTTTAGCATCAAGCGCTAGTTTTGACGATCTTCCCACGACGGCGCCCGCCACACTAGCATCAACATGACGATAAGACCCAAGCAAGTTGGGGATCCATGAAAGGCGCCGTTGACAAGACTCCAGCATCACAAGACGGGACTCACGCCCTTGTGTATAAATATTTTTGGGGAAGTTTTCATCTGACGCCCTTCTCATTATCTCTCAACAAGCGCTTCTTAAAATACTATCACGACCGTGATATAGCAACAACAGCCAGCCTCAACAACTACGCAAATCACACACAAACACAGAATACACCACCACCATCAAAATGTCCTCAACAGACAAACCAGAGACAATCACGGGCGGCTGCGTCTGCGCATCAGTCCGCTACACCGTGACGTTTCCCCCCGACCACGACTTTGCCAACAGCGTGAGTTTTCAATCCACAGCTATAAGATGTGTTTATAAGATTCACTCACACATATACTCACATGCCCTCACAGTGCACCACATGCCAATGCGAGCAATGCCGCAAAAACACCGGCTCCCTCATCTTCCGCTCCCACAGGCTGCCCAAGTCCGCCGTCGAATACACGGCCAACTCGACGCTCAAGGTGTACTCGGCCACGCCTCACTGCGAGCGCGGCTTCTGCACAAACTGCGGCAGCTTTCTCTTCTGGCAGCGCGACAACCGCGACTACACCTGCCTCACAGTGGGTTGCTTCGACGGCCCGGCTCTGGAGCGATACGGGCCTCTCTTGACGGCGGCCAAGCGGCATTTGTTCTGCGAGAGGGAGGTGCCTGGCGTCACGGATCATTTGGCGGGTGAGAGGTTTGCACAAGATGATGAATAAATTAAACTTGACTTCTTTGTTTATACTACCTATTCTTCTTTGGCCCGTGAAAAACTCTGTGTATATAAAAATATGACATGAAAAGAGAAAAAGAGAAAACAAGTAAAAAGAACCCAATCATTCTCGCTGGTGGTATATAGCGTTAGCTGGCCCATTTCGAATAAACGCCACCCAACCCAATAAATCAATATCTCAAATCCCACTTGGAAATCATGGCAATAATAGGCATTCCCTGTCCTTTTTCTTTTCCCTTTCATCAGCTGAAAACATGCCGGCCATCTTGGTCTGGTCTGCCAAGGCCGTCTCTAATCTTCCTCGCTGATTTCGCTTTCGTCGTCATCGTTGGCATTATTGTTGCTGTAATAGTAGCCGTTGTCTTGATCGTTATTATCCAACTTTTCAAAAGCATTTTCCAGTTCTTGTTCCAAGTCGTATTCCAAATCGGCAGTGTCGTTGGCTCCTGCTGCTTCTGCATCCCCATCCTCTTCTCCCTCTTCCTCCTCATCCACGTCCATGGGCTCTGACTGGCTCTGGCTAGCATTTTTCACCGGGCTGGGAAGCTTAAAGTCGACATCATCCATCGTACCATCTTCCTCTTCCTCCTCCACTTCGGATTCACGCTGGTCCATGAAGTCATCGAAGCGCCGAGGGGCAGGGAAGGCCGGCGAGAAATGAGTCTGTCTGGCCGGGGCCTCTGCACCGGGATATTCAATGAGAAGATCACCATCATCGTCTTCATCTTCCTCGTCCTCATCCTCGTCCTTCTTCTTTCGAGGCTTGGACTCTGATGGCTTGGGTGGTTCCGGCACGGGAAGCTTAAGGTCGATCTTTTTGGGAAGCGGCTTTCCTAATTGTTTCTTCTCAAACATCTTCTTCTCCAATGACGATTTCTTCTCGGTCGGCTTTTTGTCTACTGATTTCTTCTCCGGCGTATTCTTCTCCGGTGTATTCTTATCTGTCTCCATCTGCTTTCTATCCGTCGGCTTCTTGTCGACGGCGGGCTTCTTGTCGAGCAGCGGTTTCTTGTCGACGGGTTTCTTCTCTACCAGGGGTTTCTTCTCGAGGAACACCTTGTCGGAAGACTTCTTGTCAAGGTGCTTCTTGTCAAACTTTTTCTGCATCTCCTTGGTCTGGACGGTGATGCTCTTCTCGTCAGCCTTTGGTGTCGATTTAAGTTTGTCCTTGCTTGCTGCGCTCTTCTTGTCTCCCACCTTTTGGCCATTCTCCAAGTGAGGGTATCGCCGCCGTAGTTCCTCCGGGTTACTATTTCCAGGGATACGCGTGAGATTCATGTTAAACGTCGAGTCGACCTTGTCAAGGATAAACGCCTTGCGCTCGGGGTCGAACCACAAGACATAGTCGTCATCGTCGGTCGAGCGCGTTCCGGCAAATCCGACTGTTCCGTCCGAGTTGGAAAAGTTCAAGTCGTAGGAGCTCGTCTTTCCGGGAAGAGAGGGCTTTAATCGTGCGTCGGACGCAGGGAAGGACGGCTTGTGGTTATCTGCGCAAAGCAGTAGCTGGCGTGTCAGTGGGTGGTTCTCTGGAGTATCTCGTGCAAAGGTGACGTACAGCGAATGCCTGTAAAGATCTCGTTGGACGTCTTCCCCAGCAAGCCATCGCCGAGAATGATGGGATAGTTGCCCTTTGCTGTCGGGTCAATCAAGTCCGCCATGATGGGCGATGGGTAAATGTTCTCGTGTTAAGCCGGTGTAAGCCTGTGGTGGCGATGCGATGGTCGGCTTCACGCGCGGATGCTGAATCGCAGCAGTGCCGAGGGCCCTTATAAAGCAGCCAATGCGACTGTCCAGCGACTGCGAAAGAGACCAAGAGCGACGGCGGCGGTGATGGTTGGTTGGGGATGATGAGGATGATGACGGAGAGAAGGATGTCGGCTCTCCTCTCCCTTGCAACTCCAAGAGTGTGCCTGGGCAGTTGCAGTGGCTTTCGGCCTGCGGGGGCCTCCGTAAGCTTAAAGTTCAATGCTTCACCACCTTCAAGGTGCTGGTGCTGGTGCTGGTGACCTTGTTGGTTGGCGCTGGCGGTGTCTCTTGTTGCGCGCGCGGTATACAGGAGTACTTGCGCCGAGTATGGAGAAGCTGCTGGTGGCGCTAGTAGCGGATGCTAGATGCTGTACGGAGTAGGTACTTGGGCGCATAGCCCGAAAATGGTATCCACTAACACCTTCAAAGGAAGTGCCCGCAGATACGTGAACAAAAGGGTGATTGAGGCAGCCGCTTAAAGTAAGCTTTTGATTTCGTAATACTCTGTGAAACAAGGCTGTGTTCTCTCTGATCCTATGTTACTTGTAGATTTATGTGCACAAACAGAGACCCGCGAGCTGCAGCCCGCGAGAGCTGTGAATAAGCACTGAGCAGGCTTGGCCACGCATATAAGTGCGGTTCGTACCGAGAACCGCTTGAGAACATATCGGATGGCAAAGAACATTATAATTTAATGGAGAAGCTGTAATCAGAGTGCTGCATTGGAGATTTGGAGATTGTTGTGGTCTCGCAAGGCTGTCAAGGCTTGCCCAGCCCGACTTTGGGTGATCCTATGGATACTGAAATAGCCTAGTCAAGAACGACTCGGGCTTTGCAAATTATTTCCAACTTCATAAATGCGTATTGTACCAGGTTCGTTTTATCTTTTATGAAAATTGAATCCTTACATTGTTCTCAAGGCCTGCTTCATGCAGGAGGCCGAGAAAGTCAACTGCATTGGGGCACATTGTAATAAGCGATGTCTAAAAATTCTGGATAGGGGCATCTTTCCGGATACCCAAGATTCCTTGAGGCTCTAGATGTAAAACTTTTTGTCATATCGGTCGTACTTGCTACCACACTTTTTGCTGATAGCTCTCATAATAATATTCTCTTCTTCATGCTTTCGATTCACACAGCCCTTTCGCGCAACAAAAGCAGAAGCATAGAGGCAAACCGGTGTGATATAGCTGGCCCAAAATGAGCGTGACCCTCTGAATTACAGCTCTAGAAGTGCCTCTCGTCTTTTTGACGGCCATCTTGGACATAGCCTTACCCATAGTGCCGTTTTGTATAAAGGCTCTCGTAGACGTAAATAATTCCTCTCTAGGCTAAGGCGCATTCGACATTTCTATACTGAGTGTGAGCAAGGAAATCCTAGTGTACGGCGTATATCTGATATGGAATGATAATATGGCAACATTTCTGCAGGTAAGAGGTTATTTGCCTCGCTTGTAGCTGGTCGATCTTGGGAGTTTACAAACGCCCCCTCAACCCACAGTGCTGCCAAGTAGTCAGCAAACCGCGGTCAGTTTTAGAGAGTTGAAACTAATTTGGATTTTAAAGCGTCGGAATCTGATAGATTTTACCATCGAGAGGTCCATATCTACCTCATCGAATTCAGGCTGTCTAAAGGTTTCATGGACAACAAGTTTCGCAATGATTGGGATCCTTGGTCCAGGCTCCGAGTATCTGCACTATAGGTCTGATCAGTAAACTCCGGTATCTTGTCATGTCATCCAAAATCTTTCACTTCATCTATACATAATCTTACAGTGTTATTGTTACTGTCATTTTGAAGTCATCTTCAAACGTGCTTCGATGTGAGATAGTGGCGATTTCGCCAACCAAGGCATCCAAGACCCAAAGTACCATCAAACACAGCTGAGGAAATATTCCGTTCGGTGATAAGGAAAGCTGTCGATAGTATTGATGCTCTCGTAGCCAGGAGAGGAGGACAACATTCGACAACAGCGATGTTGCGTCCTCTTCATCCTAGGGCAGAAGACGGCAGATGATAGTTTAGGTAGAATATAGAGCTACAGCCGATGCAGGAGGCAAGCTTGAACACTGTCTCTTGTCGCCGCTCTCAATCAACTACCTACCTACAGGAGGTAGGAGATGATCCAGCTCTTGACCAAGTAGATTAGAAGCAAGTCGCGCTTCTCATCTCTAGGATCCCATACAGTATTCTGCATAGATTCCATGGTTGAGGATATACATCTTCTAACAATTTATCACGCAAGTCGTCCGTATTATACTATTATCATCGCATTCCGACCTCTAACGTAGATTTAGGATTCTCTTAATCTCATATTATTGAGAGGCTCAGATTTCTTTTCCCGACATGTTGATTGAGGCTGCCGGGTAGCCGCTGGCGGCTTGAGCAGGATTTGGTCTAGGCGTTGGGTCCGGTGTCGCCTTGAACGCCTCGTCATAAGCCTTTTAACCTGCAATTTTGATCTCAAATGACATCGGAGTGCCTTGTCCCGGTGGCTTTTGACTCTTGTCCTTATCGGCAAAGTCATCGGCTAAGGCACCAACTTCGCTCTTCACTTGAGGCGTCTGCTCCCTATGTGGTCATTGCTGTCAAGAAGTTGCATCCAAGCGGCTCAAAAACATCAGTGCGGTTCATGCTTGCCTCTCTTTGCGGCTGAGACATGGCCTTTAGATGCACGGTTAGGCGTCAGTGTAATCCCAAACTCCCGGAGTAGAACATGTAGCATTCATCAATGTGGATTTGCGGCCTGATGGATCTGATACATGAGCGGCGCAAATATCGAGACGAAATATCCAAGTCCTTGTGACCTCTCTGGCCCGTGTCTACTGCAATATGATTCAGATTCAGCTCCATTTTTTACGACTTATCGCTCAGATGACGGCGCTTGTAATGAGAGCAAGGTAAGACCGGATGGGATTCCCGGTGTTCGGTCTAATCGGTCTAATAAAAGAACTTGTGTGTGTCTCTCTCTCCAGGGTGCTGACCTTGTATCAGCAGTGGTGTTACCGCCATCTGCTCTCTCTTAGGTTGGCCAAGCATTGCAATAATTCCTCTGTCAAGGGTGTTCAGAAAGGCTGCCCCACTGGTCCGTCGATCAAGCCCGTCGGAAAGGCCAAGTTCACTACGGAGCATACCGCCTTGTTTCCCGGTGCCACTGCTAGACGAAGCCGGGGCTGCTAGGGCCAGATGTGCCAAGGACTTACGAGTAATATTAGCTCGGGCTCCAAGTAGGCGAGGCTAAAGAAAGACAGGCAAGCGAGCAAACTTCCTGAGGCAGATGAGAGATGGCTTAGAACCAGGCCACCAAGGAGCAGCAGCCACTGTAAGTGTCATCTCTGGCGGTCAATATGGACTACGTTGGTACATGTAGATATTGCCAACACGAAACTGCACAGCACAGCTGGTTGGCTGCATCATTTTCGTAGGGCAGATCTGAGGGGCCTCACCCGTCCGCTCATCTGTAGGGGACGTGCACGGCAGCGGCCGATGATCACGGACTGCCGGACGATCTTGGCCTGCACAAGTAACAGTACTTTGGGGGATTTTGGCGCGGATGGTAATTTAGATCCCGTAATACTAGTCTGTGGTGTAACGATGAGCTGTTGCTTTTTCGATTGTGGCGGTGGAGTGAAGTTTGAGCTGCATCCCTCGGGGCACCTTGCTGCCGTGTCACGCCCACGAACCAGAGTGTTGGATGATTCAATTGGAAATGTGAGGAACCCACATATGAGTGTAGGCTTGTACAGCAATGTTTGATTTTTTTTTTTCCCTTAAAAAACTTTCTTTTTTTCCTATCCCGCTCCCCTGCTTCGCCGATCATATACCCATTGATGATGGGTCTGGGCTCTCGACGAGAATGACGGGGAATATACTCCATATGCCTTGTGATACGGAGCATAGAGAGGGTAGCACTGGGTCTTCAATCGGAATACGGAGCAGCCGGTATGGGTCGAGCGGTGGCAACGTTGGCATTGGTGCGCCGTACTGGTAGCTATAACGATAATATTGGCAAGGTGAGAGTGTACAAAGTTTGGAGTGTGCGTCCTCGAATGTGCGCCGGCATATGCTCCGTAATGCAATTCCCGTTATTGATTGGAGCTGGGCGTCATCATGCTGCCGTGCTTGATTTTTCCGAATGCCAGCCTCAGCGAGTGGCATGTCATGTACGATTTGAGGTCTGTAACCATAATCTGTGCGCGTGATGGGCCAGCGGTCCTGGACCTACTAGCTCCTCCCCTTTCAGCGGCTGCGGCGGCCATCCAGCTCAGATGATGGTACCCAAGACTGAAAGAGTGGCAATTGGTGGTGCTTATTCTTGGATTTGGGCTGCTGTGCATCCGGAGACCCAAAATCACAAGCTGCGTCGTGTCATGCTAGCAGATGAGTGCCATCAGTCATGGGTAGGCAAAGCTTGGATCAACCAGGTGGCTCCTGTGCCCCGGATTGTCGTGTCCTCGCACTTTGGTTTTTGATGTAAGTCAACGGAGAGAGAGCCGGTCCTCTTTGGTGTGTGAGGTGGATGGGAAATATGACAAGTGGTATGCAGGGCAGGAGAGCGACGCCAATTAGAGAGCCTGACTTGCATACGGACTGCTCGACGATCCCTCTCGGCCAAGATGGAGGGTAGCGGCGAACTCTGGTGATGGGCCATCTGGTGGGCAAGCACCGGTGGACGCTAAGGCGCGGGCTCGGAAGCACTGATAGTGGTGTTGGCGGTGCTGGAGATGAGATCAGCTCGCAAATGTGTGTCTTAGTCCTGTGTAACCTAGCCGACCGAGTCGAGCTTTTGGCTCCATATTGCGTATCTAAACGAAGTCCGAAGTAATCCTCTTACATGGTCCAAGGTAAACCAGAGTGAGAGGAAAAGAAAAAGGAAAAAGAGCGCCAATGGTGACCAAGGCTCGGCATAACCCCCCGGCACGGTCTGGGCTGGGGAGCCACCGAGACGGATGTTTTGTCACTCCAGGGAGAATATTGGCCATTCATCATGTAATCTGCACCTGTCATCCACACTCTGTGCTTGTAACACGATAGCCCGGGCAGTGAATTGAAGAATGGGGAGCAGAGGCAGCCAGGCATCCATCCATCCATCCCATTTATCCAGCCAGCCGGAGCGGCCCAGAGCAGCCGAGAGGGACCAGAGGAGACTAAGGAAAAGCCCAGGGTGGCTGGCTGGCTGAAAATTCCCCGTCAAGCTGCAGCAGAGCCGATGTCGTTGCGAGGAGGGGAGAGAGAGAACCGCCGAGTGCTCGTATCGTCCAAGGTTGGTGGGCTTGTCGATTCAAGGAGGAGAGAGCACTCTGTTGTAGGTAAGCAACGTACTGTACAGTGTCATAGCATGCTAAGAGATGGATTTGAAATGCCCAGCATGTTCGTTGCAGGAGTGCTTTTTCGTAGAGGGAGATGCAGAGATTCAAATCCAAATCCTGTGTGTGGGCAACTCCCTTCCCTTCCTTGGTCTCGTTTCAGGAGCTCTCAGCGAGGGCAGGTGCTGTCCAGACTCGCCTTTGGGAGCCCTAACCACCGACACGGCAGGCGCGCAAGGTTAGGTACAGTACACGTATACCTACAGCATAAAGTACATACAGCGCAGGTACTGGCCAGCTCAAGTGTCGCGCCCATCAGCAGATACAATGGGGCTGCAGCAGGGCAGGTGCGCCGCCAAGAGGGCAAACCGGGCTAATATTGACATCCAGTTGATGTATCACTGCTCGTACCGCTGTTCGTACCTCTGATCCATCAATGCAAATCCATGACTTGTCGATGATTGTGCAATGAATTGATGTTTGTACGCAGAATTTCAATAGCACTACCAACTGAAGTACAGCAGTTTTGAATGCGTCGGCTAACAAGGCACCCAACATGTACAGCTCATATTGATACATGTACTTTCGTCATCGGGCGGTACGCTACACCAGACTTTCAAAGCCCATCTCTGTGGCACCGCGCGGTCTCAATCAAGTAAGTCGGCCACAATGCTTGAGCCGCCATTCGCCCGCCCTTTTGCGCGGCCTGCCGCCGAGGGCTGCGCGGATGTAGTATTTTTATTTTTATGTCTATTTTCGCTTTTTATATCGTGCCGGCAGATTTTCTCCCTCCCTCGCTCTCTATACTAGTTGGATCCATTAGGTTGTCAGTGTTACACCCCCCCCTCCGCGTAGACGGCCGAATAGAGTCACGCCCAACACCATCCATCCTCTTTCTCAGATATCACAAACAATCACTTTCACCGAGATACACTAGCGGCATCGATTCGGGTCCCGTCGCATAGGCTGAGGA